GCCTGACTTTTTGCAAAGTCCAATTGCTCTTGTTAGGGAGTGCAATATCAACATCTCTCATCCCCACCACGTCAAGAGCTTTTCCATTAGCCAGGTATACCTTCTCAAAGTTGCCTGCAACATAATTCTGCATTAACTCCCGGTGGGAAGATGTATGGAAGGAAGCCCCTGAATCTAGTATCCAGTCATCAACAGAACTGTGAACCGCCAACAATAACGCATCATGTATTTCTTCAGTTACAACATTTGCGTCATCATTCTCCTTCTTGAGATTTCTGCAGTTTCTTTTCATGTGGCCAGCTTTGCCACAATTCCAACAGGTTGCCTGCTGACCAGACTTTGATTTTGATCTTTCTCTGTTTGAGTTCCTGTCCCTGGATCTCCCTCTAGAATCAACATCAGTGCCGAACTTGAACCCGATGTCTCGCAAGAATCTTTTCTGCGCACCTCCTCAACCAAAATCAAATCACGTATATCATCATATTTCAATTTAGATTTACCTGCAGAACTGCTAACTGCCATCCTCATGGATTCCCAGCTATTTGACAATGAAGCCAACAATATCAGCGCACGAATCTCATCATCAAAATCAATTTCAACAGATGACAATTGATTAGTGATATTATTGAACTCATTCAGGTTGAATAACTTTTTCATTAGGTGCACCTTGTTATTCGCTGATGGCTTTTCATACATGTCTGATAAAGTTGCCATGAGATCTGCAGTAGTCCTCTCCTTGATGACGTTATGGGCAACGGATCTTGACAGGGTTAATCGAACAATCCCCAGAACCTGTCGATCCAACAGATTCCATTCCGCCTCGTCCATCTTTTCCGGCTTCTTTCCCAGCAACGGCAGGTGAAGTTTCTTCTCATAGAGGTAGTCCTCTATCTGCATCCTCCAGTAACTAAAATCTGTGCCATTGAACTTCTCGATCCCCGATGTCGTCACTTTGTTTCCGCCCATCGTTTTCTTTCAGCCTCGAACTAAGCTCTGATACCAGTTGTTATGAAAAACGACGGCAAATAAAACAAAAAAATAGATCGAGAAAATTACACCAGAAAAAAGGCGACACAAGATTTAGTGGTTCGCCTACGTCCACAGAGCTGCAGAGGATTTTATTAGCTTGGAGGATTACATCGTCGACCACGTCGACTTACAAGAAAGAATTCTCTCTCTCTCTCTCTCACCTTCTCTCTCTCTAAACCGAGAGTCACACCAAGAAGAAGAAAAGATAATTTTAAACTGTTTGGAGAGTAATCCGCATCCCTGTAATCGTGAGGCCCCTTTTAAAACTTCACAGTATCCAGCTTGTTTTTGTAATCCTTAATTTCGTGAATCCATGGAATCATGCTTTAATGACCCATATAAAGCCCATTAAGGCAAGCTATCAAATTCATTGCTTTTTTCTCTATAATAGGAGGAGCGGGAAATTAATCTGGTAAAACTTAATTAATTAAGTTTTCCTTAATTCTTCCTGTCAATAGAAGGCAATTGCTTTAAATAAAAATTGGGAATCATCAAGCTATGACAGGGAATAAAACACATAAGGAAAAAAATTAAGAGCAGATAAATTAGAATCAATTTATCAAAGAATCTGTCGTAATAGGAAGTGGACCGGGTCTCCACCTTCCTCAATATTTTGCTCATAGCACAACTCATTTATTTCGATCCGAGCTAAAATTTGAATCAATTTTAGAACGATTAACGATCTTCGAGCTAAATTTCAACTTAAGGGTTTGTTTGATAGCATTCGTAAGTGTACATATTGATTTTTAACAGTCATAAGTTTCTCCTAATGATTGTGATGCTCGACACGATCAGTTTCAATCATCATGACATAGAGTCATTGATCAATATTAGGATGAACGACATAATCATCATCAATGATCGGATGATTGTTATTTATTAACTGTAGCACAAAGAGCATTGTCGATAATCATCGAGTAACACGATCATCAACTGAGGACATTAACCCATTTAATTGCATATATATAGACATAATTTTTCTATTTATTCTTTTAAATTCAAATAAAAATAATAATTATAATGAATTGATAATAAGCATTCATATTTTTTTTGTTTGATTGAAGCAGGGTGTAAGGATCGGAACCGTTTTAGAAGAAATTCCTGCGATGCATATGAACGGGCTGGAGGAGGGTTGGCAAAGGGTGCCTCTTCTTCTTATGAGGTGTGAGCTTTGCTGAAAAAAAAAAATATTAGGTGGAAATATTTTGATAAAATTTTAATTATGATGAATTTTAAAATATTTTTAAATTACTTTTAGAGGAGTATAATATAAAAATTGAATGATAATTTATATATTATACTCCTTTTATAATAAAATCATAAATTTTAAAGTTCATCAAAATTAAATTTTAATAAAAAATATTTCCTCTTTGATGTGTCTTTATGAAAAACATTACTCTGTACTTTTTGTTAGGTTGTCTTTTATGTATATATATATATATGTAAAAGTGTTTGGTGTGGGTAGAAGTTTAGCTCTAATATTAGATTTGTGAGGCTTAAATTTGTAATTTTCTACTAAGGGTCTGTTTGGGGCAGTTGTAGTTTATTGAATAATCTGCTGATAAGTTAGGTGCGGTGACTATTACAAATTTTTATTTTTTTGGAAAAGCCAGACAATTAGCAATAAGCTGCCACCGCACCTAGATAGGTGCGATGTGAAAAAGTTGTTTACCCAAACAGACTAGGTGCGCACCAAATAAGCTACCCCAAACGGGCCCTAAGTCTTGTTTACATTAAATGGTCTATTCAGGGTGACTGTAATACTTTAAGAAAAAAAAGATAGTTGTAAAGTTGTGGTGGATAAAATAATTTCTTAAAAAATTACGGTGGGAATTATAAACATATACATTTTTTTGATAAAAGCTCTACTATGTCATAAAACTCTTCTATCTTTAAACACATAAAAGTTTAGGGGCACTTACATACCACACAATTCTTATGTATTTACATAACTAATTCTTAAACATTCATATTTGCATGAAATCATATAAAAAATCACTATATTGTTTAGAGTGAAATATATTTTTACACATAAGTTTATATGACATCGAGGTGTGATAAATGTAAAAATCAAATTTTAGGTTTTAGATATGTAAACATATAAGCATTGTGTGGTATGCATGACAATGTCCCAAAAGCTTTGTCGTTGTGTGTGGGATGACGTTTCCCGTTTCCCCGTCTGGGGTCTAGAAAGATAGGCTTGTTAGCTCATTAAGCTCATCACATGCACTACTTATTAAGCCAAGCTCGAGCCCATCACATGTACAAATTAAAGAGTCGAGTCAGAGCTGACTTGAGCTTAGCATGCTAACTGATTCAGCTTAGCTCATAACCACTTATTGAGCGAAGCTTGAGCCCAATCATGAATCAGCTTAGGCTAGATTACACTCCTAGTCATAATCTCATTAAAGTTATGGATCCTTTTAATGGCATTAATTTGATTGCTAAAATATCTTTTTAACTATTAGAAAAATAAAGTTATTTTTATTTTTTTACAACCAATCGAATGTACTAACTTTGTAGATACTAAATTAATTAAATAATGTAAGTAAATAAATGGCCTAATGATTAATTTAAGTATAATTTGTTTTATATGCCAAAATGATAGCTTTTAAGAAAATTATTTAATGTTTCTAATATATATTATATAAGCGAAAAAAATATTTAAGTTCATCATTAAAATTACTTATATTTTGATTCTTCCAAGTCAAATCGTATCCACTTAACTAGTGTTTAGCTTATTCAAAAAAATATATATATGATTGATTAAATCTTTCAAATTTTACAAGAAATTGATAAAAAATTAATTTATATTTTTATATATTTTACAACACATAATTATTAGATAGTTGTAAATAAAAACATGTATAATATATGCATGTGAGTGTACACACCCACACACAGCGTACTCAGATCAGTTGGTCATACATCTGCTTGTCAGTTTTAAATCCCTTCTTATCTAGAGTTTGATTTCTATGAGTTTAGGGTGTGATACTTAAATTTTTAGGTGCATGAAAGATAATCAAGACTAGCCTTCAACCATTCTTTTTTTTTAATTATTATTATTATTATTATTATTATTATTTTCTGGTGTGGCGAGTAGAGTTGGTTGGTGTTGAGGCTAGACAAGCCCAGATCATCTCAATGTATGCTAAATATTTGAATACCACACCCTACACACGAGGGAATTCAAACCAATGACCCGAAGGGACTTACAACTTACAGAGAGACAGCTTTATCAACAGGCCACACGCATTTAAATAAATATATGTCTAAATTATGCTCAACTATTTTTGAATATCTAAGAGTGTAAAATCTTGATGTTTTATGTGCCCATCAAATAAATTTTTTTTCTTTTATGTTCATCTAATCTTCTTTTTTTTAAAAAATTAAATTAATTTTATAATAAATTTACCAATTTAATGTTTAATAATTTAATAAAAATATTATTAGCTTTAAATAAGGAGCAATTTTAAAGTAAAAGATAATGCATTTAAAAAATGTTAATTTCCATGACGATTCAAAAAAACAATAATAAATTTCTCAGATTTCCACCGCCTTTATTATATCAGTAAACAGATAACTTAAAAAATAAAAAACGGACAGCAGAACGTTATCCCCAAAATTACTACCTTCAATGCCCCCATAAACCCTAATTTCTCCTTCCCCAAAAATCCATCTAATCGCTCCAATCCATCCTAAAAATCCCCACAAATCACCCAAACAGAATCAATCTAAACACTCGACCTCAGCAGCTTCGTCGAACCAACTCCATCACAATTCAATCCGCATCCGCACTGCGGATTGACATAGAAATTTTCGATTGGAAAATCAGCGGAAGCGATACCTACCGAGAACTCGAGTTCTTCGTCGTCCCTGATAACCTCGACGATATTGAGCCAGAATAAAAGCACCTTGACGCTGATGCCGTGGAGATTGCTGAGATGGTTGGTTGAGATGGTGCCGGTGATGGTGGACTGGTAACGGATCTGGTAAGATTCGATGGAGAAGGAGCATGTTCCGTTGAAGTAAGCGGAGAACTTCCCGGTGGTGGGATTGAGGTCGTACCCTAGGGCGCCTTTGGGGAGGAGGCCGATGGGGAAGTTGTAGGATCTGAGGACGTCGTAAGCGGAGAGGGGATCGGAGATTGAGGTGGAGAAGATAGAGGGGACGATGAGGAGGAGGAGGAGGAGACGAGCCATTGTTTGGGAGACTTCTTGGCTCTCGATTTCCGTCTTTTAGGGGGAAGGTATGGCGGTGGGTGGGGAGGTTTTGACCATTCTGATGGGGAATGAAAATTTAGTGGGAAGAATATTCATTTAGAAATCCAAAAAACTGAGAAACTCTAATTAAGAGACTAATCCTTAATTTTTAATTTAATGATAACTAAGATTTAATTTTTCATGAAAGAAATAAGAAGGATTATCGTAGTAGAGTAGTAATTTTTCATGAAATAAGTGGTTGTAATGGTCTTATTTGAAAGTCGTGGGAGTAGTTGGCAATGTAGATTATAGAATGTTGCTTCAGGAGCATCAGTCGGCTACGAAAACCAGAATTTGAAGCTACATGAGTTGTAGACCACGTAGAATGTAATTGGTCATAGGTCATAGAGGACAAATTTTGGAGTTGCATGAGTGATCCCGATTCTCTTTATATATGTTAATGCGATGCATGCAATTATATGTTTAATTTCCTTAATAATAATGCTTACTTTGCAACAGAGCTAAAGACTTAATCCCAAGCAAAAACTAGGTAAATTTTTAACTTCGAAGCAAATAAGAATATAATTATAATATTTAAATATGGGATACCACACAAGTATATGTATCGTTGTCAAGTAATATAAGTCTTTCTGCTTAAGTCCCACTAAACCCCAAATATAAAACTTTTTTATTAAGCCCCGAATATCTCACAATAGGTATTAACATCTTAATTGGCCAAATCAAGAAGCAAATGAAGTATAAGGTTTAAAATCAACACAACTTCTTCCAACATTAAAAATTAATACTTCACACAACTTCCCTCCAATACTTAATCACTTATCATTTTAAGAAAAAAGATAAAAAAAATACTAATAATTCATGGAAAAAACACAACCACGCTTGAGTTTGAAAATAGAAATCGTGCTCACAAATAAGAAGTCTAAATTAAAACCAAATGTAATAACAAAGATAAAAACTTATCTCAAAACCTCTCCATCAAATGTCTTTAAATTCATTTGAATGACTTTCTTCACTTACAATACAAACTAAAACTAAAAATAAAAAAAAAAGTGGGCAGGCGAAGCCTGCGGCAGCGGTGACATATGTGTTGGTTGGCACTGGATTGGTCTTATGGATGATTTCCCTCTCTAATCTCTTCTTCAAGTCTTCTTTTATAAAATTTTAAGAGGTGCATTGATGTCTCTTCAAAATGTGTCCCCATTCAATGAATCTTCTAAAAGTTACGTCCTTTCAAAAGCTAATTAAATGAATTTTCATGTCAATTAACTATTTTCCACATTTTCACCATGAGTTGCTTCAAACACCTCTTAAAAAATTCGTCCAAATTTAATGAATCACCAAATAACTACTTCTGGCGTTTAAACGCGAGGTATCTGGCGCTTAGGCGTAGCTCTCTCTATTTAACTGGCACGTAAACGTTATCCATGGGTGCTTAGACACCTCAGTTCTTTTTTGCACATTCTTCATTTTTTCTCCAAATTTGATCATTTTTCACTAATTTCACCATTTTTTATCAATTTGATTGTACCTGAAAGAAAAATATACAAATATCTATCATTAAAACGCAATATCTCAAAAAGAGGTATAAAAATGCGTACACAAAGACTATATATTTTAAGTGTATAAATGAATTGTGGACCACGTAAGTCGTACTTAGTCACGTTGGTTAAGAAGAGCTGTTGTAGTATCCGTAGGCCACAGAGGTTATAGTTGGGAGCTGTATAAGTTGTGGACTACGAAAACTGAAGTTAGTCAATTATAGCGTAATAGAGAGCTGCATGAGCTGTGGATCATTTAGGTCATAGTTGGACACATATACCGTAGTGGAAAGCAATGATAATGTACATAAGCTACATAAGCCAAAGTTGGGAGCTACATAAGTTGTCCTAAGCTGCAATAGCTAATTGTGTGACATGCATGTTCATTTTTCTTTTTTTAATTAATTTCATGTTAATCAATAAATTTTTTATGCCATCAAATCAAATTGTAAGAAAAATTTCACAAAATATATTTATTACATGTATGGATTTAAATTGCTTAACATGGATATATTTGGCTTAAGGAATAGGAGAAAATGTAAATTTATTTTAATTCACAATTTCATAATAGGTGTTTAGTTCCATTAAAACATTATAATACATAATTAGTGAATGAGTTCCACTTTCAACTTATTAGCATGAAAGCCATTACAAAGAAGAAGTTGACCAAACTAAAATAATATCAAAAGATATTGATATGTGTTTTTATTAAGATGGAAAACATAACCAAAGTGTTAATACAAATGCTAAAATTTAGATGACATTAAAACAAAACAAGATGAAATAGAAGTGCACATTAGACAATTTTTTTTTAATCATATATCAAGTTCTATTAGGAAGACTTGCATACATATCACTTAATTCTAATGTATTTACATACCTAAAACTTAAGCTTCAATTTCTACATAGATATACTACATTGTTCTATGAATGGAAATGTGTATTTCATTTTTTTTTATGGTTAAAAAATTGTTATTTTTCATGTAATATGAAAAAATTAGGAGTTATAAATATAAAAATAATGTTTAGGTATTAGATATGTAAATATATACAAATTGGTTGTATGTATGCAAGTACCATTTTCTATCATTACTTAAATATCATATACATTTAATCGTTTATTTTCTAATTATGATCATCTCAAAATATAGTAATACAATTTTCTTCCTCAAAAGATGACCCCTCACTCATCTTTTCAAAGCTCCTCTCCTAGATCCATCTTACCATTTCTAAACAAACTATCTCAAAACATAAGACCACCATAACATCATAACATTTCAAAGTGCAGTATATCCATCTGTTTGCCAGTATGATTTTAACTCATGAGGAGATAGAGATAGAGTCTTAAGAATCCCTGAGAAGCTATTTTGTTTGTTCAAGGCAGGTTTAGGAAGGCTTCTTCCTTTATTCAAATGCTTACCAACCATATTGGCATCATCTTTCCTTCTATTATGCATTTCCATATTATCCACAGATTCAGTTGAGTCTTCTTCTTCTGCTGCTGCTTTTTCTAAGTCTACTTCCTTTGCTGAATTAGGAGATTTCTTCTTGTAAATAAAATAGATTACTAATTGAGCTGAACCCAGAACAAATCCAATGGCATTTGGAATCTGCATAAATATATAAATTTAAATAAAATAATTTCATGTGAGAAACATGATTATTAATTTTTCTATAGATTGATTATTTACCAATATAAATATGTCTTTAACAAGCACAGAGTAGATGCTCCAAATCCCTGCATTTAGGAAGAGGAAGAAGGAAAGGGAGAAAGGCATATATTCTACACTCCTTGTCTTCATCACCATTCTCTGTCATAGAAAAATAAATGTAATTCTCTTATTTTATTCCTTTACTTATTTTTTTTCCAAAAAAATAAAAAAAAATTACCAATATCATGTATTTGTGCATGATATGATCAACTCATTGAAATAATAATAAAAAATAATAAATAAGAATTTATACTTTGTTGTGCTCTTGATTTTATTACTACTAGAATAGCTGAGATATATATATACATGTATATATACATGTATATATGTATGTATGTATATATATAAGTAATAAAATCAAGAGCACAACAAAGTATAAATTCTTATTTATATTTTCTTACCATTGCATATAATGGTGATGCATACATTCCTATAGTTAGGGCTGAACACAAAGAGCCCATTACCAAAAGCCTCAAGCTTCCATGAAGTGCTACAAGTGTCACCAAAATGACCACTCCAATTGCTCCAATATTCAATAATCCCACCATTTTTGCCATATAAATCTGCAATTTATATTTCAAATTATAATAAGCTAAGCTTAAAAACTATTGAATCTATTTACAAATTAGTTCAATATAAATTTTTGGAAGATTTACATGCATACCCTCACTTCACATTTATTTACACATCTACCTCCTAAACTTCAATTTTTATCTATATACCGCTTTATTTATGCATGAAAAAAACTAAATTAGTGATATTTTGTTTCTAATATGAAAGATTTGAGTGATATAAATATAAAAGATAAAAATTTAGGTGATATTAATTAGTTCAATTTAAATTTAGGTGGATTAATTAAGTATAAATATGTTTATAAATTCAATTGTCGTGCAGTTCAAAGCTTTGTCACGTTAATGAAATGATAAATTACTCTGAGTCATTCGATAGAGTGTATTGATGTTTTATTTAAATTTATGAAATTTGAATTCCATATAAATCGATATTCTACATGTGAAGGGGCGATTGATCTGAATTTTGAAAGAGCTTTGAGATCTAAAAACTTTCTAGCCGCATTTGATGAATGATGTTAATGACGACTATACTAATAATTGTCATCGCCCAACTATAGTTAACCAACTAACTTCACTCGAGTATCATTGTCCGACCATCTTCATTCGATTGTCATTGCCTCAGCATCTCTATACCATTTCTTCAATAAGCTAATTCTAATAAAAACTCGTGAAAAAAAAGGTTTTACACTCCCTACTTTGTAATCTAGTATCTTCCAATTGAGAAAAAGAATAGTCTTTCGTAGGCACGAAACAAGTTATGTTCAAGGCGAGCAATTGCCCTGGCCCCTGGGCTTACGCAACTTTAGCTCCATAATGGACTGATATAATTGAGTCAAACTTCATGATTTATAACATTACAATTTATGATGTCTCTCTTAATTGTCAATCATTCAATAATCATGAACCTTAGAATCATACTATTCTTTTAAGAATCATGCAATTTTAAACTATTCGATAAAATTTAGAGCGAGAAAAAATTGATGAAGAGAGCGATGAAAAATTGTTACGCATGTCCGGACGACTATTCGGATGCTGCCACGCTGCCATGTATTGCACGGCAGCCCATCCGCACCATCGTCTGAACAAACGGCCGTCACATGTAATAATTTCTAGAGAGAGAGAGAGAGAGAAACCCTGGTGTCCTTGGAAGTGTAGATGAGATAGAGAAGAACATAAATGGCTTGAAGAAGAGTGCCGGTCCCGTTGACCGTGACCACAAGGAGACCATTGGTCTTCAAGAGGCCGTAGAAAGTCCACATGGATGTGCTCATCAGCGTTGTGACGTATGGCTGCCATTTGAAGTTCTCTGTTGATTTCTTCTTCACCACCCTCCTAAACGTCCCACTGCCTCCCAAAATAAATAATAATAATAAATTAATAAATAAATTTTCTAAATTTAAAATGAAAATTAATATTAAAATTTAATATGCATATAATATTTTTGCAGCCTAACTTTATTATCCAAATATATCTTATTTAGATTATCTTGTTTTCGAAACGCACAAATCAAACAGTTAATCATGATAAACTACTTATCTGGATAAGTTGAATAGGCTGCAGCTGCCCAAACAGACCCTAAATATTTCTATATATAAAGAGAAAAGAAGTAGTGATATTCTAACCAAATTTTGTTAGCATATATTGTAATCATGAAACATGTCATACAAACAAAACACTGAAATATATAATATTGTGTTAAAAATATCATTTTTATTAACTTTTTTAAAGGTGAAATACACAATTTTTTAGCCTAATTTTGTAACACCAAAATGTTCTAAATATAAATATCAAACTGATGTTAATGTTAGATATGTAAGCTTATATAAATATTATAGTATTTAAGTAAATTTCATAATATATTTTGAGTTAAAATATAATTAAACTTGAAAACTAGCTTTATTTTGAAATAAATTGGCATTAGATTACCAAACTAGATACATTGATAATATGTTAATTTTTTTGGCACGTAAATAATTATTTAAAAAAAATTATTATATTCAAATAAGGGGCATTTACATGCAAAACACCTAATACCCATCTATTTACACATCTACCTTCTAAATTTTTACTTTTAGCATTCAAACCACCTCAAAAATATCATTATTTTAACTTCTAAAAGAAGAATCAGCTAAGGTGGTATACTGCAATGCATATAAAAATTGAAATTCAGGTGTCAGATATGTAAATGTGGGAAAAATATTACATCAGGACTCTTAATGTTGAGCTACGTTCGAAGTCCACTGAAATGCGGACACGTGGAGGTGCCATAAAAATTTTTAAAAAAATCATTTTAATGCAGGGGAATATTCTTCCCGTGTTATTTTGCATTATTCAAGTGTTATTTGGTGGTGTTCATGTGCTATTGTATTTTGGGAATATTCCCGGTGTTATAATAACACAATAACACATTAATACAACTACAATAACACATGAATAATGCAGAATAACACAGAAGAAATATTTTCCTATGTATCAGACTAGATCACAGGAAAACACTCGCGTTTCTTTAAAGTCACGTGTCTGCGTATCACTGGACTCCGAACGTAGCTCCACATTAGGAGTCCTGATGTAATATTTTTCTGTAAAGGTGTAATTTACAAATTAATAAGAAAAAAACAAAACTAAACTGCGTCATTAATCAAAATGAGTTCTTTGAACTCACATCGGCGACGCGAACACCAGAATCGATATCACGTTCCCTGCAATTTCCCCATTCAACTAACATCAGCAAGAGAAAAAAATGAATCTTTTTAAATCATTACAGAGTATAACACACAGTACTCACCCACTAATCCCACTATGAAGCTCAAATCCGCCATTAATGGAGTCTCAATAGAATCTCTGTCACAGAAAGAAAGAGATAGAGGGAGGGAGGTGAAGTGGAGAAGAAGGTTGGGGGAGTTTTATAAGAGAAGAAAAAGAGTTACTTTTTCAGTGTGATGTCTCGCGTGCATAGTGGCGGCCACGTGGATGTCGGTAGAAAGGTGTCGCTGGGATTATGACGTCGGTGGGGTGCTGGGGGAGATTCTGCATGGGATTTTATTTATGATTATTAGCATACATACCACCCAATTTTGGCATATTTACATATCCATCATCTAACTTTTCCTTTCATTTGTATATCACATCAAAAATAAGTGAATAAGGCTCTGTTTAGCGTAGCTGTGCTGTTCCAGGAAATTATTGTGGGGTCCTGGGGAAGTTGACTGAATGTTTGGGGCAACTATGTGAAAACGGCTGCTACCGCTAAAAGAAAGCATGCGAAAAAAAAATGAACTTTGCAGTTTGGGGCCGCGACGCTCAAAAAACGCTGCCTCAAACGAAACCTAAGTGATATGTATGTTAAAATTAAAGCTTAAAAATTAGATATGTAAATGCACGTGAGAATTAAGTGGTATGTATGCAAATATGTTCATCATTATGTTTATTTTTGTAATGAATTTTTATAAGGTCCCCCAGTTTGGGTTACTTTGTGGTGGTGTTAGGTAATGTCTGATAGGGCCGATATAAAAATTTGTCTTTCAATAATAGCATGTTCGAGTAAGTAAGTCGAATGCGAATAAATTTTTTGAAGTCTTTAACACGAATAATTTACTTTTCAAACGTGTTTGGCTCATTTTGATTTGAATTATTTAAAATATATTATCTTAACATTTTTATATTAACTTTTATGTTATATTTTAAAAACTATTAAATCTTATTATTTTTAAAATGTGAAATACATATTTTCATGCTTATGCTTATGACACTGAGGAGTATAAGTGTAAATATCAAATTTTGGGTGCTTGACATGTAAATACATAAGAAATGTGTGGGTATGTATGCAAATTTTCCATAAAAAAAAAGAACTTTGGTTGAGGAATAAAATTAAAAGATTCATAGGAAACGTGAATAGCTTTCTCCTTGCTATTCATTATTCATGAGTGGAGATGTTTTCAAGTGAGTGTGACAAATGCTAACCATTTAATCATACAATATATTTATTGTAAGTTAGGCTCCAATAATCTTATTTGATTTTTTTAATACTTGGATCTCATCAAAAGATAGTGATTAAATAAATAAAAAAATATATATCAATGGATGTTGATTTAAGTTAATGGGTTGGATTAAAGCTTAATGTGACCTACTTATTACTGGGATCAAGAAGCTAAGGGTCCGTTTGGGGCGGCGGTGCCATTGCGGTGTGACTCCGTATTGCTCTGTTTGGGTAAACTACGTTTTGAAGACTTTTTGAAAATACTGTCATTGAAATATATGTTTTCCCACCACTCATGACTATGTGCGGTGGCATCTTTCTAGTTGTGGTCTATAATAGTCGCCACAGCTTTTTGAGCATCTGTTTATTATTCAACAGCTTCACAGTTATTTTTTAATAAGTTGTAGCAGCTCCCAAATAGACCCTTAGTATGAATTCAAATGACTTTCAACTCTATTGACCTAATTAACTTGTTTAACATGAAACATGACAATTGTTATGTTTTTTTGTTCATTTCTTACAAACAATTAAATAGGTCTGCATGTTTAGCCCGAACTCACCCCAAAAGTTACTAAAATTAAACCCCCCCAAATTTAAATTTTTTTAGACAAATTTGAGTCGTCATTACCGTGTAATTTCTTACACCACGAAAAGAATCAATTTCTATTGAATGGGATTCATTTTTTTTTGTAGATTATGAGAGTTATATTCATAGAAGATGTTAGTGTTTGTTTGGTGGCTTATATTTATTAGTGCAACTTTAGTTAGGTAATCTAATAAGAGCTTTTTGTGCTACCTTTAATCTACTATGTTACATCACAGCATTTCATTTTTTTAATGCTAAATCTAACAAAATAATTGGAAGCTTGGTTTTGCCACATGGCATGTGAGTTATAGGTAGAACTATGATTTGAGGTCTGTTTGGGGCAGTTGTAGCTTATTGAATAATCTGATGATAAGACGACTAAAAATAATCTGTTGCTAAGCTATGTGCGGTGACTATTACAAATTTTTATTTTTTTGAAAAAGCCAGAGCGTTGTCAGAAAGTTGTCACCACACCTAGATAAGTGCGGTGTTTAAAACACTATTTTCAGCGTTTTCAAAACACATAAGCTGTCAAAATGCAGTTTACCCAAACAGGTCAGGTGCGTTTTGAAAACGCCACCGCACCAAATGAACTGCCCCAAACGGACTCTTAATTATAAGCTAATTATGTTTATTTATTTGAATTAAAACAATAATTAAATCATTAATTATTTTAAAAATATTCAAAATAAAAAAACTTGTTCTGAATGTTTTAAAAATAAATTGATTTATTTTAAGAAAATAAACAAAATAATGTGCAAATACATCAAATAAATATTTTTTTTTTAAATAAAATTGATACGATATCAACAAATTTTCATCATCAGCACGAATCTTGAGGCAATATTTTAAGCACGAATATTCAAATCTTGATAGAAATCCATCCAGAGCTCCAATTTCAGCAAATTTATAGTCAAACTGACCGACTCAATAAGACAGACCTAATGATATTAAAGGTATTCCAATCCGAGTCAAATCAAGCCCATATCAAGTAATTAAATCACTACTGCATGATTTCCGGAGGCATTTGAAAGGTCAAACAGATGCCGATTCTAGCGAGTAGATGCCGATTCTGAGCATCTCGAAAAGACGAATCCAACGAGCCCAAGATTGCTCAATTCCGACACCGTTAAGACACTCAAATGTCCATCAAACGCTATATGATCAAGGGAAGCTCTCCGGGCCGTCCGATCAAAATGGTTCATATTCCTGCATTAATTGCACTCAAAACACTATAAATAGAGCCTCACCCCTCATATGAAAGGAGGAGGCTTAAGAGAGAACTTGAGGCTTTGAGAAGGAGCTTAAGTCCAAGATCATCCTCGTCATGGTCGATCGTCGTCGACCACCACCGACCGTCGACAACGACCGACGACCTCTGTCGACCACCGTTGAACACCGTCGATCACCGCTGACCTCTGTGAACTACCACCGACCGTCACGGCCTGTTGTTAGCCATCGCTCACACCTGTTAGCCATCGCTCACCTCCGTTACCCTCCGCTTACTGGACGTCATCAGTCGACGTCATAACGTGGAAAGCTAGTAACCCTTTTTCGCCTGTGGGACAAGGGGCATCTGTAATCATCATCTGATAGTGGATTTTTACAACTGGGCAAGGCCCCGTGGTTTTTCCCTTTTTACGGGTTTTCCACGTAAAAATTTCTGGTGTGATCACAGCTTGATTCACTTTCATCTGAGTGTGTGCTGCATTTTCGTGCAACGCTAAGACGATAATCCATTACTCTACCGCCGCGAATTTTCTAGCACGCATCAAAAATTATTTGAACTTATCTTCTGCATGCATGTAATACATAATAAGATAATTAATATAATCAAATCATATGCAATGTATAATAAATACATATTATTTGCCGATGTAGCAATTATTATGCAAAATTGCATTTTTTTTATTGTTATTGCAAAAAAATGTCTAAAATATTTAAAAATATTTAAAATTTAAAAGATATGGTAAGATATTTAATATTCATATTAAATTAATTACGAGATAATAACATAAGACAACTCTCTGACGCAGGGGCGGGCATTGTCGTCACGCAAAATGCCACCTGGATGATCCCTATCCTCTTCTCAGGCCAACGAAGTGAAGCCACCTGTCACGTGTTTTGTTTTTACACGTGGGATTACTCCTGGGCAGCCGGCTGTATTTTACAAGAGTTAAAAATGGGAAAAAATTTATCCTAATTATGAGGTTGATATTCATAATAATATTAGTGGCATTGTGATATTATTACATCACAATACCATCAATATTGTCGTAAATATCATCATTTAATTTGGACGTAGCTCATCTGGATATAATAACGTGTCCAAATGGTACGAGTGAACCTATTTGGGCGAGACAAGACCGATATGCACGCACACCAATTATTACTGAAAATCTCATTAAAGCCAACAATCAACTTTCGTTAGACTAAACTCGAGAAGAGACCCAACTCCTCGATACCATCAGTCATCCCACGAACACCCCATAAGCTCCTTATTAGAGTCCGAGAGATAACCATGTGACAATATATCTAAACCATTGCTCTGGTTCTTTTTTTTGGGAAGTGAGCTACCTATCAGGTTACAAAGATTTACCCTCTATATGATAGCTTAGCTTTACTGACTCGAAGAACATCAAAGGACAGTCGGCAACCTTGATTCAACATAGCTAAACGAGTAGGCCTTGTCAAACAAAAACCAACTGAGTTCGACTAACTGAATTAGAAGTCAACCAAGTCATTGACCCATACATGTAAAATATCTAAAATATCTTGTAATGCATCCATTAAAATAAGGACAAACACATAGTTTTACATATACTATCATATTCTCTATAAATAGAGGATCATTGTATGAAATAGGCAAGACGGTTTACTATTAACTATTATGCACTTCTATTTCGGGATATCTTACGCTCTAACACTTGAGATGTGATTCAAAAAAATAAAATAAAATAAAATAAAATCAAAATTTAACACATATATGTCATACAATTCCCAAACATTTTGCATATTGAAGATCTAAACTTTATATAAATTATATTTATGCAAAAAATATCACTATTATTAATTTTTAAAAATTAATATATGCCTTCTTATGCATAATTAAAGTATAAAATGGGGTACATATATAAATGTTCTATACGCTCGTTTCTTCCACAGTCCGCTACTAGGAAGATTAATCTGGAATTCGAATTCCTCCTTTGCTCGATCACTGTACTCATTTAGCCATGGTGACCAGGCTAATTCTCCGCTCCACCCGAGTTCTCAGCACCAGCCTACCGTCGATTTCCTCACGGCGGCCGATCGTGCGAGCTCCGGCTCCGCAGCGGCCTCCAACCCCGCTTCTTTGGAAGTAACAGTTCAATCGGCCATAGCGCCTCTCAAGTCAGTGAACAGTTCGCTTTCTAACTCTAATGTTCCTCCATGCATTTGACCTGAATGTTGTTGGGTATCCTCTATTTCTTGATTTCTATATTTTGGGTTTTAGTTGGGGGTTTCGTGTGGTGCACGGAACCGGCGCCGCTTCTCCGCGATCCAGGCATTGGTTGACTCTCCGGCACTGGTGGATGTGCCGCTCGCGCAGACGGGAGAGGGCATAGCAGAGTGCGAGCTTCTTAAATGGTTTGTGGAAGAGGTGAGTTTGGTGGAACATGAAATCGAGGTTTTCTGGATTGTGGCTCGGCTATTAAGAGCGCGGTTGATTTCTTCTAATCTATGTTTGGGTGGTGAAACGATGGGAATTGTTGGCAGGGGGATCATGTAGAAGAATTTCAGCCGCTCTGTGAAGTACAGAGCGATAAGGCAACTATAGAAATCACAAGCCGGTTCAAAGGAAAGGTCCACCAGGTCCTCTGTGTTCCTGGTGATATTGTGAAGGTAAGTGGTATATATATTTGTGTGTGTGTGTGTGTGTGTGTGTGTATTTATAGTTTATTCTCTTAATGATTGCTGCTGTGGATCCTTAGTTTCCTGTAAAATCTTGAAATAAAGTCAGCATAGATTTGTGAGGAGTTTTAGTAGGTCTTTACTGTGGATTCAAGCTGAAGTATGCTTAGAAGTATTTAGTTTGATTGTTGACTTGCTTTGATGTAGGCAAGCATGGGTGACGTTTTTGTTTGAAATTTTAACAACATGTTGAGACTTGTTTTGGTTCATTTTCGTCACAAATGTTATGCAGAGTAAATGCTTCTAAATAGGCACATTTAAGTTGTATTAATTACTTAAGGCTAAAATCCATTGAACTTACTCAATATGGATGCTGGGTGTTATAGTGGATTCGAATGAAGAACAGGGCAAATTTTTTGAAATAATTACTGTGGTAGTGTCGAAGTTTTCTTATATTTTGTTCACTCTCTTTTAATTTTTATACAACTGTAGTATTGTTGTGCGGTCGAGTGATAGAATTCTAAAAATCAAATATTTTGAGCTTAGTGTAATCTTTTTTTACTAATGATGCACTTTTGGAACCATACAATGTTTTTTTTTTCTTAATAACGAAAATGTAAGTTGTTTTTTTATTTGTGGACTTATGTAGATTAGTGAATTTAGATTTTGGACTTGCAGTGTAATGTTGTTAGAGGTAGTGGTTGAGGATTGTTGTGTGTTATTATGTGGAGTCTGATTATATTAATCAATTGTTCACTTAAAGCCCCTCATTTTTTTCGTTCAGTCTTGATGGTGAGTTTATTGGGGGGCATGGGCAGGGTTGCAAACGAAACGAGCGTTTGACAAGCTACTCATAGCTCAACTCAATAAGAGCTCATTTATGTTCATTCGATTACGTTATAAAACAAGCTTGAACATTTAACAAGGTCGAACACTATTATAAAACAAGTATGATTATTCCATCTTGGACATGTTATCGATAGTGAAATAAACTTCTCAGGTTGGTGAGACTATGTTGAAGATTCATATTAATGAAACAGAAAGCACTTCTGAGGATGATGATGCTGAAGCATCATCTGATTTGCAACAATCAGATCCAGAAACTTCATTAAATAATCAACAATCTATAGGGGGTGTTCTTGCTACACCTTCTGTAAGGCATTTAGCAAAGCAGCATGGTATAAATGTAAATGATATTAAGGGGTCGGGTAAAGATGGAAGAGTTTTGAAGGAAGATGTCCTGAACTATTCTAATAGCAAAGGAATAGGTATAGAGTTGCCCTTCCTATCATCTGAGGGTGCTGAGAATGCAGAGCCTTTTCGAGAAAGGAAAGAAGGATATACTTCTCCGGAACAATGGAGCTACGAGGACAAGGTCCTTCCTCTCAGGTAATTGAAAATGCTAAGAATTTTGAAAACATCTGTTTTTTTTTATATCATAATTGATGCAAGATAAGTAATGATGTAGGCTTTACACTTTTTTTTTCGATGAAGTTGATTCTATAATTCAAGCATGTTATTTTGTCAGATTTGGGCAATTTAAACATTGCATGCGTGCCCGCTCTTCAATGTTACACATTGTTTGTTGTTTTAGAAATTTAAAGTTCAACATATTATCATTATTTCTTGGAGCCTAGATACAAAAGGATTTCATTATTTTATGGAGTAGGTTTAGGAATTTTTTTCAATTTATGCAACATCTAAATTTTCATACAAGAGAAAAATTCAGCAGCCAGGGACATGCAAAAGCCATGTTTTCAATTGTGGTTGTTGATTTTTCCAAAAATGTTATATTTTAGCAAAATAAAAATATCTTCTATGGAAACAAGTACAGGTGGATTTTTGTTTGATTTCATCAAATAGTATCGATTCTTATTTTGATTTTCAATTTTTTTTAATCCGCTATTTTTTTTTTTTCTCTATATATCCTCTACATGGTTAGTACTAAGCAAGATTCATCTTGATATTGAGTTGATGATTCATTCAAATATTCCATTTGGTTTAGTGTTTAATTTATTATTTTTTTGTTTGCTGATTTATTTGTTTTCCTAAAATCAATCTCACAATAAATATAACACAAGATTAACTTTTATGTTGAGTTTATGCTTTAAAAACTAAGATCAATGCAAATAATTGGTTTTTTTGTTGATCTAAACCTTAGTCACTCCATATTTCATGAGCGCTAGAAAATCATCAACTTTTTGATGTTCTATGTTGGGATCACAAATACCCCTCTATGTTTAGCGCAAATTTTTATGCAAATCATGAATCTTGAGATGACCCAAAATTTTAAACTAAAGCGTAATTTGGCTTGATTTAATTAAGCCACAAGCTCTAAATGGGTCTATTAAGGAGGCACTTTAGATGGTGGGAAAAAAAAAAAACTCTGAGTGGCATGATCAACTCTCAACCATTTTCACTGTGTCTCACTACATAAGTTGATGCTTTGGCTTTTTCAATCTACGCCCAAAGGCCTGGGGCTTATAGGTTCTCTTATCCTGCACAATAGAAGTCAGGGGTAAGGTCATTTTATCTGCAATGATAATTGGGCCAGTGTTTTCATTAATGGAGGAGGAATCAACGGCTCCTACATTATAGTCAACATATACTCTTTACTGTTCAAGCGATTATGGAAGATTTGAATTGTCGATTACTATATCCCCACAATCTTATCACCGGTTATTCATCTATGAGCTCATCATAGGGCGTGAAACAAATTCATATAAAAATAGCTTTACAGATTGCTTGTTTATGTTGAATCTATTGGAGAGGACATGAAAATCTTGCAATTATTTCTGTTAATTTGTCCATTGAAACTTCATTTTCACTGGTGTGCTTACAACATCATTTCCAAAAACATGATGTCCTTGGGTCTTCAACGTAAGACATCTTTGGTGTGCTGTGACTTGCCAAAGCCAACTCAAGATTCTAATGGGCTAATTCAAGGGCAAGTTCTATCCGATCAAAGTTTGATGAAGGTGAGGCTTTAATCTCTGCACTCCGTTACAAATATGATTATTGAATACAATGATTTAGGACCAAAATAATTTTATCTAAATATATAAGAACTCTTGGTCATTCATTTTGGGAGCAGAAAATCTAAGGGTATTGGAAAAGAACTCTTGCACTAAAAAGGTTTTATGCCCTGTGTTTAGTTAGCTCTAGAACTTACAGTATTTTATGCTTTATCTCCATATGTCCTTTTGTAATTTTAAGGAATAACACTTTGTCTATAAACCTTATAAAAATTTAGGGTTTTGTAAACCTCCCTTTCATTTGTTTAATTCAAAGGAAAACTGAAGAGATGCTGGCTAGGACTATATTTTTTTGTAGTTGGTTTTGGTGGCCAAGAGCTGGGGTATTGGGAATGATTTTTTTTCTTTTTTAAGGAAGGGTGAGGGCTCAACTGTGGAAGTCTTGCAACATTGGTCGATATGCTGTGAGGTGGGAATAAGGTGTAGGAAGTCTGGGAGGGATTATGGAAGAAATGGGGAGTTTTGGGAAGGAGAGGCTATGGTATATGAAATTATGCAATATAAGAGGATGATGCTGCTAAATACATTGTAACTTAAATAATTCAATATATTATTAAAGTTCTTTGCATTCTCTATTTATAAAACAAAGAAAGCTAAATACATAAACTTAGCGAAGAGGCAATCAGCCATTACAAAAATGGTAAGATTGTGGTCAAAGTCTTCATGCAATCTTCAAGTTTTTTGAGAGTGGCCGGCCATTTACTTTTCAAGGGAGACTTGATTTTTTTTATTTTTTTTATCACATGTTGCTTGTACTAAAAGTCAAGAGTCCTATAATGTACAATTGGAAGGTAGAGTGATGTTGTATTGAAGCACATGTTGGAATCCTTATAGGAGGGGTCTATCAAGTTTTGGTCACAATCATTTGCTTTGAATTTTGTGACGTGGATGATTATGATGACAGGCAACAATATGGATGTAATGCTCTAGTCTTTGATTGATTTTTAACCTGTGTGTATATGTTGATGTTGCATCTAAAGCTTTCTTACATAAACCTTTAAAAAAACTAAATGCTAGAAAGTTGGGGTTATATGAAATTATGCAATATATTGGGATGATGCTGCTGAAATTAAAAATTTTTGGGAAGTTTTTATATTAGGCTAGTCTTCAATATGTCTAATTTTATCTTATTTTATAAACTTGTACCCATGTGTTGGATTCATTTATTATTTAATAATTGATCTCCAACACTCTCCAGTTATATACCTCTTATTTCATAAGCTATTTCAAATGATGAGATTGTGTTCTCTTCTGCTGTTGTATGTTAGAGGCCTTTGGTGCATGCCACTTGTTAGTACCTAAATTTGTCAGTGCTTTAATTTTTTGAAGCTGGGCACATGATTCAAATCTGATAATTCCGTTCATCGGTAATGTAAATCATGCACATTGAGACGATTAATTTGATGGTATGAGAAGCATTCCTACTATATTTTAGTTCAGTTGCTTCTTTTCATAGTTTTTTATTTTTATGTTTTGGGGTAAACATGCCTAAGTGATGATCCCTATAGAGAATGGGTTGTATTCTTTAGTGTTTATATTGGTTTGGTCAACTTCTCTGGTTTGGATGTTGTCCTTAAATCGGTTTAGTAGTTACATCGCCATTGGTTTCGAATTTTTTGTAGATGTTTGATTCACTGTTGGTTTTCTAGTACTACCTATTGGTTCCTTCTGTTATATTGATGTGGTTGATTACTGTTCTGGAGCAGGTGCTAAGTCACTGTTGCTAGAGGCATTGGTCTAGTATTGGTTCCTTAATTTTACTTGTTTATTCTAGTTCTCTATTTGGTCTTATGTCTGCCAACAATTCTTTGTTGATTTGTTTTATTTGTTTTTTAGTTCTCTAGCGTGGCTATTTTGTTGTCATAATGGCTAAATTAAGCTATTTTCCTCTCTTCTAAATTGGAATTCTTTATTGCAGCAGTATCCTAAGAATTCCAAACTTACTATCTTTGGCACTGTAGAGGGATTCAGATCTGTTGAATTTGAGATTTGCAGTTTTTAGCTAATTTTAGGATTTTTAAAATATTGTCAATTTTGGAGCATTTGTGATTATAATTAAGGTTAGTGAGGCATGTGGAGTTTAGTCAATTGCTTAATGAAACATCAAAATCCTCTCAAGTCTACATTTTCTTCAAGCACAGTTTAAGTTCTGATTAAAACCATATCGTGGAATCTTTCAATTTCTACTGACACGAGGCTTGGAACTTCCATCTGTTGACTTCTTTTTCTGTTCTTTTACTCTGCAAAAATTTTGATTTGTTTGCGTGCATAATTGTGATTTAATCAAGTCTGCTACCATCTAGATTTTCTTATTATAACTTGTCTGTAATCCTTGTATAATTTCTATTGATCTCAAACATCTTATATATTGTTGTTTTGAAAATTTTTTGAAAACATCATATTGAACAAATTAATGTGCTCTTTTAACTCTCATTAAAAAAGGCAACCACTTGCCTAAATTTAAGTTATTGGACTGTTTGGTTGCGTGCATACTTGTGCATCTCATCTTAGATTTGCATTAGTAAATTTCATATTCTATGATTTTCTGCATCAATATCTCACTTCAAAAGGGTGCAGACAACCTAGGCCTTCATAGAGGATCACACCTTTTAGATGAATGTTAAATCTTGTAGAAGAAAATATTCAAAATATTTGAATAGTGGGAATTATTTCTCTATCCTTTGATTTCCTTATCATAAGATCATTTCTAACTAAACGTTGCATAGTGACTTGGCAGCAATATAGAAACATTTCCTATAGAGTTTACATTTATTTACCAGCTATTATCTAGTTTTTTGGTCTTTCAAAATTCATGCATGTATTGATATTGATTTAGGAATTGTATTCCTCCTATTTTTCTTTTAAATTGTTAGTTGTATATCTACCTCATAGATGCATGTGATAAAGTTCTTTGTATTTTTTCCACATGTGACCTTATTACTCCTTTATTTTATGAAACGATATCCTCTGCTCTTCTATTACAGGGGATTCCAGAGGTCTATGGTCAATTCAATGACCATGGCTGCAAAGGTTCCACATTTCTATTTTATGGAAGAAATAAAATGCAATGCTCTTGTCGAGCTCAAAGCAACCCTGCAAAAAGAAAACACCGACCCCGACGTCAAACACACATTTCTACCATTTCTGATAAAGTCTCTTTCCATGGCATTGAATAAATATCCTCTGATGAATAGTTCATTCAATGAGGAATCCAAGGAAGTCATTCTGAAAGGTAATCCATTCAAAGTCCATTGTTCATTTTAATGAAAATATTTAAATGAATTTATCAAACATATGAAGAATAGATGCATTTTCACTTATACCTAATAAGAAACTAATCATTTACTTTTGCTTTTGCATGTTGTAATATAGATTTACATAATTTAATGCCATAACTTTCTTTGCTTCTAATGTTTTGGAGTGCTGGTTATAAACTTCCAACTCTTTCACAGGATGCCACAACATAGGTGTTGCAATGGCAACTCCATTTGGTTTAGTTGTACCAAAGATAAAGAAGGTTCAGTCACAATCAATACTTGAGGTTAGCTTTTAATAATAGAATATTATTAAAATAATATCATGTTTTGCTTAAGATAATAGGAATGTAATGAAAAAATTAATGTCTTTTATGTGATTATCAGGTTACAAAAGAGCTAGCAAGGCTCCAGCAACTTGCAGTAGCTAACAAGCTGAGCGCCGAAGAGATTAGTGGGGGAACCATAACCCTAAGCAACATTGGATCTATCGGCGGAAAGTTCGGTTCCCCAATCCTCAATTTACCTGAAGTTGCCATTATTGCTATTGGAAAGATCCAGAAGCTTCCCCGATTTTCTGATGATGACAAAGTATATCCGGCATATGTTACCAATGTAAGTTCTGCCTTTTATAATATTTTGGACCCAATTCCTAGATTTTAAGGATATATATCACCTAATCTTTACATTTTTTTTTACTTTTACATGTTGCATACATCTTTTCATGCATAAGTAATATGTCATGTATGTAAAATTTGAAGTTTAGGTGTTAGATAAGTTGAATCATAGGAATTAAAAGATAATCTAAACCTTCCTAACATTTATACAAACTTTGATGGAAAATTTACATACATACCAGTTAGTTCTTATCTATTTACATATCCGCCTCCTAAATTACAATTTTTACATATATGTCACCTTACCTTTACATGAAAAGGTGTATTTCACTTTTTTTTAACTTAAAATGCTGGTATTTTTTATGTGATATGGAAGATCTGGGTGGGTATGAATGTAAAAAGTAAAATTTAGGTATTATCTATGTAAATCCATGAGAACCCTAACTTTGAAAAGAGAGAAAATCATCACTAATATCAAACGAAATTTAAAACTAAGAATTGATGAAAAGGAGTTTCATTCTTTATTGATTTTTTGTTTTTCATTATTGTTAATTTGATTTAAAGGAGTGATTACTCAACTTAGATTAGTTATCAGGTAACAATTGGAGCTGATCATAGAATTGTTGATGGAGCCACTGTTGCAAGATTCTGCAATGAATGGAAGCTGCTGATAGAAAAACCTGAGCTTCTCTTACTGCACATGAGATGAAGTAAGCAAACATCTTATACTGCACGAGAAAACTAAAATTTCAGGAAAATTGAACACCTTTTTTGTTTAATGATTATTTATTTTATCGACATTTAGGATGAGTGTTACTGAGATTAGCATGAGATATATTCATGAAAGAGTTGATGTAGCTCTAATGGCAACCCTACACGGTCACATTAAACATCGATCATATACGATTAGGGAGTCATCTTCGATTCTTTTTTTATTATATTTATTTAAAATATCAAGGTAAATATAAAAGTTTATGTATTAAATTTATAGAACATAAATGTTGTGTTATATATATAACATTATCAAATCAAGCAACTGAGAGCATTGTCATCAGCAGCAAGAAAATTTTTCAAAAAAAGCCCACTTAATGTAATTTCTATGCTTTACAGACCAATTCAAATCAAAAGACAAGGGAAAATGCCCCCAGAAAAATGTAGAAATGCATTTCCCACTGACCTCTTTCAAAAAATTTCAAAAAATATACCAAAAAAAAAAAAAAAAAAAAAATCCAAACTATGCCTTGTTTTGAAGGAAGAACGCTTTTAAGGAAGAACAGAGATCAAACAAAACCTTACAAACCATCCATGTTCCCAACGGATTTAAGATCAGCACATAAGTTGTCATTAAGTAGTTTAACAACCTCAAGCTCGCTTCTGAGTCTTTGTTCCTGCAAATGTTAAGTTTACATTCTAAGCAAGCAAAAATGAAAAAGGGCAAAAAAAAAAAAACATTTAATAACGATAAGAATTTATCTTATTTTATAAATAAGGATGACAAAACCTCTCATAAATTACATGATTTTAGGAATCTTATGCATTGGTTTCTTTGAAATCTTGATAGGACTGCTGGTTTTTGTCATGATAGGATTTCATCATAAAATCTAATAGTGATATCATAATTTAAAAGAAAAACAATATATCTATATATGATATTCCAGAGAGAATAATAAATCATAATAAATTATCTCTACTCTCTATTATAGTTGAACTCAATGAGGTCGACCACAAGCTCAAGTTTGCACTCGAGGGAAAATAGTTAAAGTCGAGCTGGAGTTGAGAATGGCTCGAGCTCATCTCTACTCATTTACAACCCTAGATTGGACCAACTTGAGTATTGGCAAGTCCTTTTAAAAGAGGCAAACCGAAAAAAAAAAGGGGAAATTTACATGCATGGTGCATAATTCAAATGTATTTACATATCTCACAGCTAAACATTCATAGTTACACATAACATTTTGGTGATTTAAACCTACACAAAAAAATGTATTTCCCTTTTAAAAAGTGATAATATGACTTGTTGAATCCTAATTTGTTCGTGAATCACACCCTAATGAATAGAGCGTCAGTGTTGAATCTGAATCAGTCTGTGAATCACACCCAAGAAATAAAGTGTAAAACGGGAGAGAGATAGAGAGAGAGAGAGAGATCAAATAACATTGTGGTCATTTAAACCTACACATAAAAAAGAATATTTCACTTTTAAAAAGTGGTAGTAGGGCTTGTTGAATCATGATTTATCCGTAAATCACACCTCAAGGAATAGAGCATAAATGTTTAATCCAATCCGGCCGTGAATCACGCCTAAGAAATAGAGCGTGGGACATGATGTGGAGAGAGAGAGAGCGAGAGGAGGGAGGCGAAGTGCACAATAATGAACAATAATTTTTAGCAACTGTGCAACCCTTTATTCATAAAATGATCTCATATTTATAGAGAAAGGGGGAGGACAATATGTGAGACATTTATGCCCCTGCTTTAGTTGGGGATTGCACGGGTTATTCTAGGTATTTTACATATGTGGGCTCAGAGCCTCTTAAGCTTGGCCGATTGATTTTCTGCTGGCTAGGGGTCGGCAAGATTGATTCGGTAGGCTAAATCGTGCCTATCTGTTGGTCAAGTCCGGCATAGGGTGAGTTACTGTAATTTAATAGATAGCTGCCTTTAGAAAAGGAGATCCTAAGGAATGGTTAAGACTTGTTGTCCTATTGACTCTTGATGATATTCTAGGAATAATGTGGGATGTCTTTGATAGAACCATAGGATCCGAGGGGCTAGCTCCTCCTTTGGGTTAATGGTTTGGGTTAATATCGTGCTTCGCCTCCGGTTGAGATTCATGTTGGCACTTTTTCGAACATCAAGGCCAAGGTCAACTAAGGCATCCAAACATCTCAAGATTCATGCTGACATTTTCCTTTGTACAATATAAAAGGAGTGAGCGACTGACTGACAGAGAGGAGTGAGCATTAATGAACAATCATACAACTTGTCTATCTTCTAAAAAAAATTTCCTCTTTATAGGGAAGATAGTAAAATATAGTGAAATTAAATTTCACATTTTGCATTAATGGGGGCTATACTGGATATTCTAGGTATTTTACATATATGAGTCTATTGTTCGACTACTCTCTGGCTCAGTCAACTAAACTCATTTGCCTTCAACTCGATAAAGTCAGTTCAGTCGGCTAGGCTGAGTCGACGTTGACAGTTTGTTGAGCCAAGTTGACTTTAGATCAACATGAATGATTTGATCGGCTAAGCTTTGTCGATTGGTTGATCTAGTTCGGTTGTGAACCCTTGATCCCTGAATGAGATGCTCCAGTCGGCAGAGCAAAACTAGACTATCAAGCAGAGGGTGTATCATTGTAACCCGATAGACACCTCTTTTCTCAACGAGGAAAGTTCATGGGATGACTATTATTGGCCCCTAATGAGGAGTCTCGGGGGCGTCCGTGGGATGGCTTGGGATATTGAGATACTGGGTTTTTTCTTAAGTCGGATTAACAGGAAAGTAGGATGATGCCTTTGGCCGCTTTCTTTGTAATGGTTAGCTTATATGTCTTGTTTTAGTCTGATTGGTTCAAATTTAGAACGATTGGTCGTCCTTTTGTCCTTCTCCCGACTCGGGTGGCCTTCAACTTTGGCTCGGATCAGATAAGTATGTCTCCTAGTCTTATATCGGCAGACTCTCCTTTGTCGTACTTTCTATCTTCTGAGCCATTAGATATCCTAGGAATCAGTGTTGGACATTTTCAATGTACATGGCTATTTTTAATGTTATTAAAAATTTGAGTGCTATGTGCGCAAATTTGAAAGTTTAGGTGAGAGATATGTAAATATATGAGAATTCTGTGCTACGCACGTAAATGTCCCCCAAAAAATCTCACAGACTGAAGCAAAGAATGAAAAGGTACCCAAAGTTGTCCATACAAAAATAAAGTAAATGAAGAATGAATCTTATCTGATAGTAGAAACATCACCTCAAGTGTAAGTTCTTCCACGGACCTCTCCAGTTCCATGCACCTGTGTAGCGCACAAAACATGAAACAAACAAAACTCGAAACCTGCTTCAATCGTTACTAGTCCACTAGCAATCAGAAATTATTTACACAGAATAATACAAATAAAAGTTGAATTACAAGGATCACGACCTTAACAAAAACAAAAAGGATAATTTACATAATACCGCGGAATTCCTATGCATTTACCTATCTAACACCAAAACTTCAATTTTTACATACATACCTCATTCTCTATGCATGACAAGGTGTATTTCGCTTTTCACAACTTAAAATGGTGGTATTTTCTATGCGATAAGAATGATTGGGGTAGTACAAATGTAAATAAGTAAAGCTTAGGTGTTATATATGCAAATACATGGGAGTTACTCAAAAATTGATTTGAATAAGAGTTCGGATCGAAAAATAAGAGCGTAGCCACGATCAGACTTATTTTCGATCCGATTTCGAGTCCACGTTGGATCGAATCAAGCACCTCACAAGTAGATCAAAATTTGGATAATTAATTACCAATATCATATATATGAATGGTGGATACGCGAACTGCGGATGATTTGCTGTTGTGGTTAACCCTAAGCAAAATTTGAAATATGATATCACAGACTCCCAGCCCCAACTGCAGCCCCAGCCCATTACATTTGCTTCGAAATCCCTAACCCTAGCCCTAGGTGAGGAACCAAGCCTATGGCGACCTAACACAGTGATGCGTTCGATGGTGACTAGTGAGACTGGTTACGTCGGCCATTGGCTCACTGCCTAATCTCGTTCTCTCTGACCCCGACTTCACCTTCTCTTTTCCCTCTAATTAGTAATAAGTTTCTTACTTCATTCTCGCGTTTTTTATTGCATTGCGTCATTGGTTGGATCTCTAATTCATTCTGATGAATCTTTATATGTTTTCACAGATTTGCAGTGAGGTTTTTTTCCCTTTTGTTGTTGTTGAAACTCTTAGATTTATTATGACTAAAATAGTTGGCATATTACAATTTGCTTTTGGTGTTGAGTCTGTTGGACGTTTTGATGGAAAAATGTTGTGTTTTGTCGTTTAAAATGTCTAATTTTGTAAAAACTTCAATAATGTCAATTTAGGGCAGGTTTTTTATTTCAATTTGGAATAAAATTTGAGATATTGACATTTGCCTGGAGTCGTAGTCATCAGGTTTTCCAAGTTCTAGCTGTTGGCCCGACAGTGGTGTAAATTCCTAGCCCTAAAGAATCTGTGTTCGAGCTGGATTGATCAGGCGCACGAGTCTTATTTTATAAATAAGGATGACAAAACCTCTCATAAATTACATGATTTTAGGAATCTTATGCATTGGTTTCTTTGAAATCTTGATAGGACTGCTGGTTTTTGTCATGATAGGATTTCATCATAAAATCTAATAGTGATATCATAATTTAAAAGAAAAACAATATATCTATATATGATATTCCAGAGAGAATAATAAATCATAATAAATTATCTCTACTCTCTATTATAGTTGAACTCAATGAGGTCGACCACAAGCTCAAGTTTGCACTCGAGGGAAAATAGTTAAAGTCGAGCTGGAGTTGAGAATGGCTCGAGCTCATCTCTACTCATTTACAACCCTAGATTGGACCAACTTGAGTATTGGCAAGTCCTTTTAAAAGAGGCAAACCGAAAAAAAAAAGGGGAAATTTACATGCATGGTGCATAATTCAAATGTATTTACATATCTCACAGCTAAACATTCATAGTTACACATAACATTTTGGTGATTTAAACCTACACAAAAAAATGTATTTCCCTTTTAAAAAGTGATAATATGACTTGTTGAATCCTAATTTGTTCGTGAATCACACCCTAATGAATAGAGCGTCAGTGTTGAATCTGAATCAGTCTGTGAATCACACCCAAGAAATAAAGTGTAAAACGGGAGAGAGATAGAGAGAGAGAGAGAGATCAAATAACATTGTGGTCATTTAAACCTACACATAAAAAAGAATATTTCACTTTTAAAAAGTGGTAGTAGGGCTTGTTGAATCATGATTTATCCGTAAATCACACCTCAAGGAATAGAGCATAAATGTTTAATCCAATCCGGCCGTGAATCACGCCTAAGAAATAGAGCGTGGGACATGATGTGGAGAGAGAGAGAGCGAGAGGAGGGAGGCGAAGTGCACAATAATGAACAATAATTTTTAGCAACTGTGCAACCCTTTATTCATAAAATGATCTCATATTTATAGAGAAAGGGGGAGGACAATATGTGAGACATTTATGCCCCTGCTTTAGTTGGGGATTGCACGGGTTATTCTAGGTATTTTACATATGTGGGCTCAGAGCCTCTTAAGCTTGGCCGATTGATTTTCTGCTGGCTAGGGGTCGGCAAGATTGATTCGGTAGGCTAAATCGTGCCTATCTGTTGGTCAAGTCCGGCATAGGGTGAGTTACTGTAATTTAATAGATAGCTGCCTTTAGAAAAGGAGATCCTAAGGAATGGTTAAGACTTGTTGTCCTATTGACTCTTGATGATATTCTAGGAATAATGTGGGATGTCTTTGATAGAACCATAGGATCCGAGGGGCTAGCTCCTCCTTTGGGTTAATGGTTTGGGTTAATATCGTGCTTCGCCTCCGGTTGAGATTCATGTTGGCACTTTTTCGAACATCAAGGCCAAGGTCAACTAAGGCATCCAAACATCTCAAGATTCATGCTGACATTTTCCTTTGTACAATATAAAAGGAGTGAGCGACTGACTGACAGAGAGGAGTGAGCATTAATGAACAATCATACAACTTGTCTATCTTCTAAAAAAAATTTCCTCTTTATAGGGAAGATAGTAAAATATAGTGAAATTAAATTTCACATTTTGCATTAATGGGGGCTATACTGGATATTCTAGGTATTTTACATATATGAGTCTATTGTTCGACTACTCTCTGGCTCAGTCAACTAAACTCATTTGCCTTCAACTCGATAAAGTCAGTTCAGTCGGCTAGGCTGAGTCGACGTTGACAGTTTGTTGAGCCAAGTTGACTTTAGATCAACATGAATGATTTGATCGGCTAAGCTTTGTCGATTGGTTGATCTAGTTCGGTTGTGAACCCTTGATCCCTGAATGAGATGCTCCAGTCGGCAGAGCAAAACTAGACTATCAAGCAGAGGGTGTATCATTGTAACCCGATAGACACCTCTTTTCTCAACGAGGAAAGTTCATGGGATGACTATTATTGGCCCCTAATGAGGAGTCTCGGGGGCGTCCGTGGGATGGCTTGGGATATTGAGATACTGGGTTTTTTCTTAAGTCGGATTAACAGGAAAGTAGGATGATGCCTTTGGCCGCTTTCTTTGTAATGGTTAGCTTATATGTCTTGTTTTAGTCTGATTGGTTCAAATTTAGAACGATTGGTCGTCCTTTTGTCCTTCTCCCGACTCGGGTGGCCTTCAACTTTGGCTCGGATCAGATAAGTATGTCTCCTAGTCTTATATCGGCAGACTCTCCTTTGTCGTACTTTCTATCTTCTGAGCCATTAGATATCCTAGGAATCAGTGTTGGACATTTTCAATGTACATGGCTATTTTTAATGTTATTAAAAATTTGAGTGCTATGTGCGCAAATTTGAAAGTTTAGGTGAGAGATATGTAAATATATGAGAATTCTGTGCTACGCACGTAAATGTCCCCCAAAAAATCTCACAGACTGAAGCAAAGAATGAAAAGGTACCCAAAGTTGTCCATACAAAAATAAAGTAAATGAAGAATGAATCTTATCTGATAGTAGAAACATCACCTCAAGTGTAAGTTCTTCCACGGACCTCTCCAGTTCCATGCACCTGTGTAGCGCACAAAACATGAAACAAACAAAACTCGAAACCTGCTTCAATCGTTACTAGTCCACTAGCAATCAGAAATTATTTACACAGAATAATACAAATAAAAGTTGAATTACAAGGATCACGACCTTAACAAAAACAAAAAGGATAATTTACATAATACCGCGGAATTCCTATGCATTTACCTATCTAACACCAAAACTTCAATTTTTACATACATACCTCATTCTCTATGCATGACAAGGTGTATTTCGCTTTTCACAACTTAAAATGGTGGTATTTTCTATGCGATAAGAATGATTGGGGTAGTACAAATGTAAATAAGTAAAGCTTAGGTGTTATATATGCAAATACATGGGAGTTACTCAAAAATTGATTTGAATAAGAGTTCGGATCGAAAAATAAGAGCGTAGCCACGATCAGACTTATTTTCGATCCGATTTCGAGTCCACGTTGGATCGAATCAAGCACCTCACAAGTAGATCAAAATTTGGATAATTAATTACCAATATCATATATATGAATGGTGGATACGCGAACTGCGGATGATTTGCTGTTGTGGTTAACCCTAAGCAAAATTTGAAATATGATATCACAGACTCCCAGCCCCAACTGCAGCCCCAGCCCATTACATTTGCTTCGAAATCCCTAACCCTAGCCCTAGGTGAGGAACCAAGCCTATGGCGACCTAACACAGTGATGCGTTCGATGGTGACTAGTGAGACTGGTTACGTCGGCCATTGGCTCACTGCCTAATCTCGTTCTCTCTGACCCCGACTTCACCTTCTCTTTTCCCTCTAATTAGTAATAAGTTTCTTACTTCATTCTCGCGTTTTTTATTGCATTGCGTCATTGGTTGGATCTCTAATTCATTCTGATGAATCTTTATATGTTTTCACAGATTTGCAGTGAGGTTTTTTTCCCTTTTGTTGTTGTTGAAACTCTTAGATTTATTATGACTAAAATAGTTGGCATATTACAATTTGCTTTTGGTGTTGAGTCTGTTGGACGTTTTGATGGAAAAATGTTGTGTTTTGTCGTTTAAAATGTCTAATTTTGTAAAAACTTCAATAATGTCAATTTAGGGCAGGTTTTTTATTTCAATTTGGAATAAAATTTGAGATATTGACATTTGCCTGGAGTCGTAGTCATCAGGTTTTCCAAGTTCTAGCTGTTGGCCCGACAGTGGTGTAAATTCCTAGCCCTAAAGAATCTGTGTTCGAGCTGGATTGATCAGGCGCACGAGCTTAAAATGGCATTTGAGCCGGCTTGTTTATAATTCGAGCTGGCTCATTAATTAAAAGTTTTCAATTCGAACAGGATCAAAAACCGAATTCTTCGATCCAATTAACGGTTTCAATCCATAATATTTCATTTTGATCCGATTTCGAGCCACACTTGGATCAACGCGAAACCGGATAGTTTATAATTTGAGCCGCCTCATTAATTGATCGGTTTCCGTTCGAGTCGAATCAAAAATCAAATTATTTGATCCCATTAATGATTTTGATCCATAATATTTCATATTGGTTAGATTTCGAGTCACACTTGGATAGCCTCGAAATCAAATCATTCACAGCCCTAGAATTAGGTGTTATGCATTTAGATGCCCCCAAAAATAACTTGAATACCACAACAAAAAAACATGAATCTGCAATACAATTAAACACTAAAATCTATGCCACATTGAATGATCTATGAAATATCAATTTTAGCAGATCATTGAATGATTTTTGGGCCAACAGAATGAATTAAGGAACCGAAGGCCAAATAGGTAAGTTAAAATAAAATCTGAATGATCTTTAGAAGTAAAACATCTGTTGTGAAAGAAGGATTCCAAAAAATGCAAGAAATCTGTAACTGAAATGACAAAGCTGAAGTACAACTAAAGGGCTGTTTGGTGATGGATTTAAGTGGGATATAACTTAACTTTTGCTGGACTGTGAAAACGCCACTATAAATTCTGGACTCCATAAATCTGGTTTCTTATTTTTTTCACAGTTTTGACTAAAATCCTGCATTTACTAAATCCTGCTGTTGGTAAGTTTTATTAAATCCGGATTTACACAATTTACCAAATCACCAAAACACGTTACCAAACAGCCCCAAAAGGAAGTAAAACGTCAGTTTTCATCTACTGACCGTTCGTTGAGTTGTTTCCTTCGTTGAACCATAAGTGCTTGCTTTCTGTCCCTTCCACCATGTTGAATCTGTGAAATAAATATAAATTAAAAGGCTATGATTCAAGCAAACAACCCAGGTTTTCATACACAAAATCTATAGTAGACAGTAACAGTTGAAATCACTCCGGAATAGAAAGGCATGCAATTTGTTCCCTGCAGGAGGAAAAATTATTCCATCAGGAGTCCGGATGCAGTTTTGCATCATGTTTCTGATTATGACATGTCACGTGTACAGGCAGACCCACCCATGTATTATTATTATTATTTTTTTGTACAAAGATGGGCTTGTCTGTACACGTGGCAGACCCTGGATGCAAAACTGCATCAGGACTCTTGATACAATAATTTTTCCTAAAGGAGACACCTTTCACAAATAGTTCATGTTCAACTCACTACAAAACGAGCTCTTATTCTGTGCGGACAGCACGTCCAATTAGAATTTTTTTTTTTTTGAAAAAAAAAATTAAATTGGGGCCTACTGTCATACACTTTTAGTAAAGGAAGTATTTTTATTGGTTCACCGCACGCATCTCTGCATCCGGTGAACGCACACAATAATTTTTCCTACAAAGCTCGTGCTCGATTCTTTTATTAAGCAAGCAAGCCGAACACGAAGCTCAATTTATAAACAAGTCGATCGTGAATACATGTTTGTTCGATCTCGATGCATTTTCGCTGGAATTAATTAAAAAATACTTATTATATCCCCTTTATATATATTTTTATAATGTATTTAAAAAATATATTTTTTATTATTTTAAAATTTATTCAAGCTGAATTTGAGCCGAGCACGAACATACTATTGAAGGGCCGTTTGGAATATAAATAAATAAATAAATAAAAGAACCGAACATGAACAAGCTTTGCACTCGCTCAAACTCGCCTCATTTACAACCCGAGTACTATATACTAGATATAACATAAAGTAGCAATAACTAGAATTGACTTAAAAGTTTTAATGCCTAAGAACAATGGAAGATTGATTCTACTAAAACCATTCCATCGCAAATTGAACTGATCACAAAATAGCAAAGGATCTGCATCCAATGCGGAGGTTAAGAAAAAAAGCATTTAGACCTGAATTTGAGGCTTAATTTTGGGCGCGGCAAGTCCAGCAGTAACGGACTGTTTCTTCAGCACCTCAGTTGGATATATATTTTCCCTGTAATTTTCTTTTTCTGGCAGTACTGCAAAAACATTCATAAAATGGGGAGTTTATGAAGTTAGACAGACTAATAACCATGTCAAAAAGAACAATTGAAACAAGACAAGAGAAATTAATTTTAGTCACACTACAGATGCCATTTAAGTTAGGAAGATTTACATACACAGCACGCAATTCCTATGTATTTACATATCTAACACCTAAACTTCAATTTTTACATTCGCACGGAAAGGTGCATAACAGTTTTTAGAAGTTAAAATGTTGGAATTTTTAATGTGATATGAAAGATTTGAGTGGTATAATTGTAAAAAGTAATAAAGTTTAGGTGTTAGATATGTAAATACATGGGAATTGGGAGGTATGTTTGTGCATGCGCCTTTAAGTTATGGTAATGCAGAATAATAACCGAATCAAAAAGGACAATCGAAACAAAGCAGGGAGAAAGTAATTTAGTTACAATAGAGTTCCCAATTGATTATGACTTGGAAGGGCGCAGGCAGTTTGGTCTAGAAAAATACCCAACGTCGTCTTTGAATATAAAGTTCAATTCTGATTTATATTCATTGCATAGAATCCTTAAATTTTAAAAGAATTGTTGTCCAACACCGAACCAAACAGCTCTTTAGTAATTAGAATAACTATTACTTAAAATATGAAGTTCATTTCGCATATTTAGAGGGCTTGAAGACAAAAGAAAACACAAAACAGAAAAAGAAAATGGCGATTTACATACAGACCACAAAATTGTTCTGATTTTAATATTTAACTTTTATAACACTCAAATCTTTAACCATCAAAGATATCACCAATACTAACCTTTTTGAAGTGAAAAACTTTCGGGCATTACTCTTTTGTTGTGATCAAGAAAATGTCGTATGCATAATATCAAAAATTTAGATGTTAGATATGTACATAAAAATTGTGTAGTATGCACACAAATTCCGCAAATGAGAGAGTTTTTATTCAACTACTTGCATCTGCACCTTACCTAATACTACAACAACAACAACAAGCATTTATCCCACTAAGTCGGGTCAGTTACATGAATCATTTTTATCCATTGCGTCCTATTGAGTGTCATATTTTCATTTAATTCAAATAAGTTGAGATCAATTTTTATATAATATGCCCAAGTTTTTTTAGGTCTACCTCTGTCTTTCTTAATATAAACCGAATCTAAAACATCTATTCTCCTAACTGGAACAACAAACGGTCGACGTTTAATGTGACCAAACCATCTAGGACAACTCTCCCTAATCTTGATTGCCACTAGAGCTAAACTAACCTAATCACGGATATATTCATTTCTCATTTTGTCTCTAAGTGTCAAGCAACTCATCCACCTAAGCATTCTCATCTCAGCAACACTTAACTTTGTTTTATACTTCTCTTTTCAAGGAGAACATTTTGAGCCATAGAGCATTGCAGGTCTTACCATCTTATAAACTTTCCTTCCAGTCTAAGCGAAACTTTTCTATCACACAATAGGGTCGATGCATTCCTCCAATAAAACCAGCCAACCTGGATTCCACTAATAACATCCCCATCTATATCGCCATCACTTTGAACAATAGACCCGGATATCTAAAACATTCACATATTTTAATGATTTGATCACTCACAGTTACAACTATCACTTCTAAAATTACCACTAGAGCCACTATCACTTCTAAAATTACCTTCCAAGCATTCAGTTTTAGATCTACTCAAACAAAGGCCTTTAGATTTCAATGCAGACATCTATAATTCAAGATTTTCCTGAATTCTTTTTCTAATCTTATCCACAATAAAGATAAAATCAGCAAAACCACACAGCAAGGTACATCCTCCTATAACTATCCAGCAAGAACATCCATAACTAAAGCAAAAAGACATAGGCTTAATTTTTTCGAGTATAAAAAAGACAGGAATATCCTCATCAGCAAATCATCCCACTTGAGCAAATCAAGACAAGAGTATTTTCCTACAAACCTGCACAAGAAATAGTACCAAGACAAATACACATTGTTGATCCTCAACAACCTCATCCAATCACTGCCGTTGAGTAGCACTATAGCAGCTTGCCAAATTAACCTCCTGCAACAGCTCTTCCCCATTTATATTAAGTCCTATCCCTGCAACTCTTGAATGATTACTGCTTTGTATTCATTATTTTATACTTGGAATAATATAGTTCAAAGTTGTTATATCAAAGCATGCTAGCCGACAACAACCTAACTCAAGCTTCATTCAATAGACATAGATGAATCCTCTTCCATGCATATGAGCCAATCCAACAATGTGTCTTTTATTTTATTGTTTTTTAAATATCTCCAACAATGCATCTTGGACTAAGATGATAGACATCACCAACAAAAACCATCTTTAACAAACCACCCCCCCCTCCCATGGAACACATCTCAAGTTTCACATATCAAACTGACGCTACAGCACACTAATGAAAAATATCCTATCTTGAGTCTCAAATTCTCGAGCCGTTCACATCTATGGGCAACGAAACAAACACAATACCATACAACTGTGAAAACTCTAGTCACTAACATTACAACAGTGGTTTCTACCCTCTACAATTAAGACATTATTCTATGCATCCTTGATTGTCTTCCGCCCGACTATCAAGCCTTCAAAATTGCCATGGGGATTAGGCATACACCAATCAGTCTAGACGATCTATACTTTCCTCTGCAATAGCAAAATTAACATGGTTGCAGACTCAACAAAGGAGCATTCGCTCAACCATCCACCTTGGCCCTCACCACCACATAAGGTAGACGAATCAAACACTTATGCTTTTTTGATTGATCACCAAACACTATAGTTAAATTACACCATTAAATTACGATCAAATCTATAACTAGTATGTTCCCTGACAGTTTTCTATCATTTGAGTTGTAAATTATAAATATACATTTGATTCTCATAGACTCCTTTGTCAATCAAGTTCGACCTAAATTTGCCCTTTAGCAAATATCTACCACAGATCTAGATATCTCTTGGACGATGCAGCTCATGGCTTCTAAAAAGGAACCTTCAATCAGGTTGGAATGACTACCTCTTCTGACTAAGTAAATCAGGGATCATAAGTCTTAAGACAACGAAAGCATGAGATCTTGTTTGTCAATTGTCATAATTTCCCTCATCATTCATTTTAAGCTCACGATAGTAAATTATATATCATAAAACTAAGTGTGTTGTTGTTATATGCTGGATATTTTGGGTTTAGTAACTAGCCTTAATCGAAAGCTCTATCTTGTTATCAAAAGGGGAAATTAATCATAAAAGCTTACGCCTATGTGAAACCTTAAACCCTAGATCTTAAAATCCTTGCAAAATGAAGACAAAACCATCGAGTAATGTGTTATCTATTGTTTCATCTGCCTTTTAAAAATTTGACCCTAAATTCCAAATATAAAGCTCTCGACAAGAGTCCGGGGCATGAATTTTTGGAGACAATAAATTTCCTTCATGATCTAATCCTCAAAAGAAAGATTACCCTTTTAAAAGAAGTTTACACTTTTAAAAGTATAACTTCAAGTGGGTTAAGGATAACTTTTTAGCTTCCTAACTGTACCATTTTCAAGCGCTTGAAAGCGATCTTTTACAAAGTTTCTATTAGGTGCTAGGAACTTCATTTGAAACATCTAAGGTATACAATGCAGTTTTATTTATTTCTATGATAATTTCTCTTTTTTTGTTTATCAAAAAAGTCGATGCACGAAATTATTATTTTTGTTTTTTTCCATTTTGCTCAAACTGTTAATAGGTGACATTTTAAGTTCACTTTAGTAGTGCAAACTTCTTACCATACAACAGTTCTCAATCCATCACACTGCTATAACGCGGGCTTTAGAGCTTATCTATTTAACTTTCTTTTTCCCCTTTGAGAAGTTAAATCCTTAGAAGGTTATGGTGTCTTCCCTTCCTTACCTTGATTCTTTCATCTTGTGACTATTTCCATCATATTGACCTAATTAAGATTGATGATTAAAAACGAGCGTTCATTTGCAGTTTTAGAATAAATTCCTAAAGTGCTCATACAACGTCCATGCATCCTTAAGAATTAGTCCAAAAGTGATTATTTTATGTGAGAACTCTTTGGTGTAATCCTCTACACTAATAATCCTTAGCAACTACATAGATTGCACCATTATTTCCACAAATCCTCTACATATCCCAAAAAGCAAAATTCTTGATGGCTCTATTACTTCAACATTTCATGTCACCTCTTGATGATCATTCATATTTAAACGAGCATTCCACATGATAAGGAGAGATGGTATGGTATAACCTCAATCGAGAGTAGGCAATAGGTTTCAGCAAGTTTTGAACTAATTGATTCATGCATCCATTTTATCGACATCAATGACCTTATCATAAGCATAAATCTCTACTTTAGTTTCAAATTTGAACGCTTGCATCCTTTCGTTAAGAGTGGTGGTCATATCTCCCCTTAATCTTCCCCAACTATCATAAGCATAAATCTCTACTTGTTTGCATCATCACTCACCCCAATCATGTTAGCCATCTATTGTATCAATATACCAACATAACCAGATAGATTTTGTGTAAAACTATTGTTATCCATTAACCTACTTCTTCCACTCATCTCTTTCTATAATTCCGATACAACGCTGAGAGGACAAGTGACACTCCCTAATTTTTGCATAATATCTTATTTGTGGCATGCACCCAAGAAATGAAGCACTGATGAAACCGTCTTAAATTAGTTAGTTTTCTCTAGCCAACTTCATAAACAAACTCCATAATTAAAGAAATTTTTACTAGAAACAACTAGTTACATAAATTCTTTTTACAAGATAATTCTAGCAAGAATCATCCTAACTAAGTTGAAACTTCTAAATTCAAAATCAAGCTCATCCGAATAAGTTTTTCAAATTCAACCTTATCTTACTATAATCTGGTTTGTAACTCAATAGTTTAGACCTTCAGCCTATTAAACTTGATCATCAAGACTTTGGTTGACAATCCGCCTTCATGATTAACAGCTAGTGATGTTCCCTAGGATCCCACGGTGTGATATAAAAATAAATGATACAGAGTTAACTCAAATCACTACTCAAACGACACATTTTTTTTTGTTGAATTTAAATGATTACAATGACGAATCCTCAATATAAAACAACACAACACACATGCAAACAGTAAAAAACAATAACTACAGAAATAAAAAAAGGAAAAAACACAATGACAAAAGAGGCCCTCTCTAGCGGAGTGCAGCAGGTCCGACTGGTGGAAGGAGCTATGGAGGACTGACTAGTAGCTAGCAGCAAGTGGTGGTTGTGGGAAGGATACCATGAGGCCAGAGGTTTGCTAGAGGCACAGGAAAGGTGATCTATGACCTGCTAGAAGGGGCTTGGAAGGTAGACGACCGGCTGGGAGGTGTCGGGAAGGGAGTGCGGTGGTTGCTAGGAGAAGCCTGAGGGATCTGCGACCTATTGGAGGATGCAGGACTGATCGGTTGTGGGTGAGGAAGGCACACGAAGGTGGACGACCGGTTCGTAGATGTCGGGAAGGCAGTGTGGCTATTGCTGGGAAAAGCTGATGGTATCTGCGGCCTTCTGGAATCGCTGGAAGGGATCCAAAGAGGGAAGTTGAGAGGATAAAGATCTCGGCGAGGTCAGCCTATAGTCGGAACACCACCCAAACCCTTGGAGACGGACACCTCATCGAATGAGTTACAGTCGGAGCCCTCCTCGTCGCCATATACAACCCTAGTAAAGGAAGAACGCCTCAAAGGTAGGAAATTGAAGTTCAAAATCATCAAAATTGATTAGCCCTCAACAAACAAGATTTATAAATAAGGGGAAAATAGTTGATAGACTAGGCAAGAAACAAATGTGATGGAAAAAAAAAAGGAATTTGAAATTAAGCTTATGTAGAAAGGAATGGATTAGGAAGGAAGGAAAATTGAGCGATAAAAAAGGGGAAGGGATGGGCGGCAGTTTCCGCCCCTAAAGAAGCTTGGCCTGTTCAGTCTAGTAAGAAAGTTGGACCAATCTTCTGACCAACCGGTCAGGGCTCAAGAACCCCGCGTCAGTCTCCCGAGATTGGAGGAGCTTTGACTTCATTCGTCAAATTTTCTGGCTCCTCGAGGCATGACGACAAATCCTCTGGTAGGCCGATCAAGTAGGTGGTCATTCCAAAGCTCACTCTGGCAGAATGGGTATCCAACCTCTTTTGGCACAATCTGAGCTAAAACTGTAGATAGACGAGTATTCTCACGAATCAGGCATCGGTCTATCCCATTTGTAAATTGTTTTTTCCACTCCTCGTACTCAGCGGAATGCAGCTAATAAACCAGTACGAGGATAAATCAACTCAGGTAAAATCCGTGGCAAATTACACCACTCTCACTCGCACCCAATTAGCAAGGACCTCTTCTTCACTGATAGGGCTTGGATTGCATTGAAGAGTTTTCTTCCCATCAAGCTCCTAATATAAATTTCAAAGTTAGGTTTCATCCCTCATTTCTGGATTTCCAGGGATGGGTAACGTACTAAACTAAATCTGACATCTAAATAACTCCCTGAAATCTTCCCAAGGTGGTACAAAAAAGTCTCATATCTGGCATGGGAGGCCTCGCTCAGTAAGGGCAATTCAGGGATGAGTCTACGGATATGAAATGCAAGAATTTCTATTATACGGGATTGTCCTGTGTCTGATATCGACTCCCCAAACTCATGGCCCATTTGGACATTCAAGGCCAGTTATGTTGATGCTCCCCTCGATGCCTGGAAAAAACTAGCTCGAGGAACCATAATCTCGTACTCTGCTAAAAAACTCATTACATCATAGTCACTACCTTCTAGAAAAGCTAATGTTACCTCAGTTGGAATCTTTATCTTGGGGTCAACTAGAATCAATGGTGTCTCTTCGTCATTTGCTGAAAATTGATAATCATCTCTGAAGTCTGCATCTTCTTTCGGATTACCATTTATTTCTTCAATTGGAAGCTAATCCTCTTGCTTTGTGTCCTCACCGTCTGTCCTGACCGTCTTTAGTGTCTACTATGTCTTTACCAATATCTGCAAGAATGTCATGCTAAGCGAAACAAATCACCCCCTAATTGTGCAGTCAGATTCAACGTGCCCGAATTCGTGGCACTTGCAACACTTCTCAATTGTGACAGATTTAAGGATGTGGATTGGTTCCACCTATTCTCCGCTTTGAATCAATTTTTGGATTTTCTCGAGGGTGAAATCTGGTTGTAAGATCCTAAGTTTGAGCTCCGCCTGCAAGACATGGTGGTCTCATGGTGATGTGGTTTCTTCATTTCTAAAGCTAGAGTCTGAACCTTCTATTTATAGTAAGCTGATAGAAACTTGCGTTGAATCTCCAGTTCTCCATATGTTGGCCCTTCTCTCGACCTCCTCTGATACTGGATTCCAAAACGTATTGGTCTTTCTTCTTCATCATTAAAACCCTCCCTATTGAAGTGATGGAAATTCTCGTCTCTTTCACCTATTCGACTTTCCCTATCACCATCAAGGGTAAGCCTCTCCGAGTGTCATCCTCAATGTCCACCAATCTGCGGCCTGTTGGAGAATGCAAAAGAAGCTGGTGGGATCTGTAGCCTTGTGCAATTGCTGGAAAGGATCGATGAAAAGGAGTTGTGAGGATAAATAGCTAGGCAGTTTGGGCTACAGCCGGAGCACCCCTTCGTCGTCGAATACAACCATAGGAAGGAAAGAATGCCTCAAAAGCAGCAAACTGAAGTTTAGAATCATCAAAACTGATTAGCCCTCAGCAAACAACATCTATAAAGCATATTATGGTTAACATGATGTTTATATGACCTATCTCCAAGACAGAACAAGGGAAAAAATATTTTAAATAAAAGGAAGGCATTCAAATTTAAAATATGATACTAAAGGTGCTCAAATGTGAAAGTTTCGGTTTGATTGATTATTATTTCTCAACCATCAATTCATGTATATCATTCTAACCTTTCAACATTTTGCCTTTTAAATATTTCTGACTTCACAATGCTGCAAATTACAAATTGGGCCAAGGCATGTACCACAACTTTTGAAGGATTAAACTACATACATTTAGCCTAAAGCCAATAATAATGCAATTGGAACGGGACCCATACTAACCTTCAATTAGCAAGTTTTTGATGTGGAAACAAACAAAAATTGCTGTAGTTGAAAATTAAGAAAAGTTTAGAGGACTGCCTGCTTGAGAACATTCCCCATAATTGGAACTTCTTTGGCCTTGCAATGCATCCACTTCCTCATAAGATAAATGAGCTGCGCTAGATGGGAACTGGGAAGCTCCGCCGATGGAATTCATTTGAAATAATTCAAAATGTTGTAGTTGTTTAGGGTTTTTCATGACCTCCTGTGCAAACTTTCTTCTTTTAGGAAAAGCATCTTGGGAATAAATTTGATAGCCAAACGGTAGTAGAGTTGGAGAAGGAACTTTAACAGCATTATAACCAATCAGATGACAATGATATTTCCTGCCAAAACAATATGACCAAATCATGAATAACAAGTTTTGAAGTTATTAATTGAAAACTACTTTTAAAAGATGGGGCATTTACATGCATATCACCCAATTTCTATGTATGTACATGTACAACATCTAAATTTTACCTTTTACATTTATAACCACCAAATCTTCCCTATCACATCAAAAATACCACCATTTTAACTTTTAAAAAGCAAATTATACCTTTCAAGCATAGGTAAGGAGGAAGAAATGTAAAACTTGACATTCAGTAGTTAGATATGTAAATAAATCGGAATTGAGCGGTATATATGTAAACCTTAACAGCAATTGCCATGTTTATCCATTGTGCGAAGTATTGCATATCGTGCTTCACAGCCAAGAAGACTCTAATCTATCACCATTCAATGAGAACAAATTGAACTTTCCAGCTCATAATAGCAGCTAGCAAAAAACTTAACAAACCTCTAGACTAACTGATCTACAAAGTATCCAAATATAGAGGCTTGAAGTTTATTTTCATGTCTAGAACTAGCAGAGATGGCCTAATATTGAAACAAATCTATAACTGTCAGTTTCTGCCTGTACACTAAATTATATTTATTCCGCCATTTTTTTTGTTCTATGAAAGGTATAACAATTGCCAGATCACAAGCCCCGGATGGGAAAAGTAAAAGATTACATTAGGTAGTCAACATCCAACATAATCTTTTCGTCAAAAAATCTTGACATGAATTTTTTAAATTATTGTGTAAATGCTACTCTACTAGGGTGTCCCCTTGAAGCAACGCGTTGTATAGTTTGGATACATTAAAATGTAAGGGCCGTTATATCGCGCCCAGGTGTAGTGATAAATAAGCAAGTGTTCCCACATTATAGAAGGATACATGCAAACGAATTAGTCCATGAAACTAATATTATAATAGGAACTTGAAATAAAGGTACTCTCACAAGTAAATTAATGAAATTAGCAAATATTATGGTTCATAGGAAGATAAATATCTTATGCATTAAAAAAACTAAATATGTCATAAAAAAAATTCAAGAGATAGCTTACGTTTTAAACTTTGGTATTCAAGTAACAACAAGCTACGTGAACAAGGTTTATATGTAAATAAATGAATTATCTGAGTGAAATGCATCAATTGAAAGGAAACTAAATGCAAAGAATTCACCAATATTCCAGTGCCATGCACTTCAGGCGGGCTTCCAGTTTAAGGAAAATGTCTGATCTTTCAAAGCCCTGCTTGTCATGTGTAGGTTTCAAGCAGTCAACCTGGAGTACCCCTGCCAATGATATGTATGTATACTTTTGATAAGTTTATGTTCATCAAAACACATGAAAATATCATGATGTACCAACTAGTAGTGAGAAAAAGCAAAAGAAATGACTGACCGCTTACCCACAACGCCTCGACATTTCTGAACTACAGGCCAAAAGGGCTGAAATTAAAAACCACCAATCATGACAAAAGTAAAACAATCAAGGAATATGAAAGAAATTAAGAAAAAAAAAACTAGAATCAATTAAAAATAGCAATAGGAGCATCAATAAATAACATGAAAGGAGACAAACGCAAATAATTTAAGTTGGGGTTTGTGGATTCCCAAAATTCATACCCAACCTCCCTCGAAGATGAATGAAGAGAGAGAGAGACAGTGAAAAAAAGTTTTACATTAAGTGTTAGGGGCCAAATTTTTAGAAGATAAATGAGACAACATATTAAAAAGGATGAGAGATTTTGCTCTCATTTCGCGATGACTTTAAGATATGAAGTATGACGTTTCTCATAGGTGCAACCCCTATGGTTGATTACCCCTATTGATAACAAGAGAAAATTTTTTATTAAGGCTAATCATTAAATTCTAAATATTTAAACTTGGAATGATATCGATCTAAGATTTCCAGAAGGTGTTCAAGGATCGAAGCTAGTGACGAGATATTGATAGAATGAATAAAAGAGGAGAATATACAAAATCAGTGGTGGTTAGAGGGGCAAAACTGATGACAGCTGCTTTCTTACATAAGAATTCAGCAAAGGGGAGAATGCAGCCGGCCACAAAGGCGGCAAAGGAAACACGTCCGAAGGTTTCTTGTGCTCTTCAATATACATACTCACCACTTAAAAAAATATATGATATAACACTCCAAAAAAGAGAAAACAATGAAAAATGTCTCCAAATAACATAAACAAAACAAAAGTCTCAACAACACGCTTATACTAAAACATAAGCTAATCTTAATTCTAATTAAAACAATATAAAAAAAAGAAACCCATAAAGCTGGTTGCAGCTATTAAACAGAGAAGTGCCACACAAGACTACACGGGATGGGTTAAATAGACCTAAACCCAATCAATCAACTCAAGTTGACACCCCTAAGCGCAATGGTGGGCTCTGAAAATTTACGACGCTCCCCACGACAACTCTCTTCATTTAATTTTAAATTTTATTTGGTGATAGAGCTTTAAAAGATCGAATTTTCAGAAGGCAGATTGTATTGTAAATAATACACTACCCAGAGATTCTGCCCACATTTCACAACGACATTTTGATCTGGGGTTCGAGGCTTCCCATATGCCCAAGCCCCTATTGTTAATCGACCCCTCCCGATAATGGAAGAGCACTTTCGATTAAGGCTGGTCATTAAGAATTAAGTATTCAACATACAATAGCAACATACTTAGTATTTTAAATTGTAAAATTTATCACTTGAAGCTTAAAATAGATTGTATGGGAATGAAGATGAGACCCTATGAAGATCTCATGGTTCTATCATCCCGGGTCATCATAGTCCCTAATCTACTTAATAAGAAGAGGTAGTCGACCCAACCTAACAGATGAACTATTGTCAGCAGCCATGAATTGCGTCATACAAGATATACCTGTAGATCTAGGGTGAATGTTTGCCTAAGGAGATAGATTTACGTCGATCTTAGCTAACAGAAGGTTTTATGTCAAGCGATTACACCCTTATTATTCACAATTCAAAGAGTAGAAAATCATTGGGGAATATATTGACTGGGTCATGGTCGTAATATAATGATGTCATTTTGCGGCAACCACCTGATTAGAGGGCTCTGGTCTTAACCGTTATTTTGTTGTGTCATTTGACAACAGAACTACGCAGACAGAGAACTCGGGTCACGCCCTTACTGACATGAAATTATTTTGATTATTAATATAGAGATACACTTAATATGGTGTTAGCTCTTTGTAAGCTGAAGTCAATCAGAAATTTGTCACCCTCAACAAATTGTTATAACTGACGAATAGATTTTTGCTTTTAGATTTTAAGTGCTTGAATTTTAGCTTGAATTTTAGTAGATTTTTTTTTTAATTCTAATCTAAAAAATTGACTCCTTCGGTTGAAATCTTTAATCCTCAACACAACAATCATCGGTGTGTTGAATATTTAAAGTATTTATATTTAAAGGGAAGCATTTAATTTTGCCAGTTTAGACTTTTAGGGTATGAGTCGTGTGGACTCTTTTTCTTACAAAGAGAATGATGGGACTAGATGATTTGGACTTGTAAATTTTTAATTTGGATTTGGGTGTCAGTCCTTGCGAGAAGAATCAAACTAGTTGTGTGGAACTTACAATCCTATCCTATAGACAAGGAGACCTGATTAGCCTGTGCAGCATGCTCGAACATATGATTGGAGAATTCAATACATTAGTTGGAGCACATGCGGGCTTTTAAATTTATGTACTTGGGCTATTTTAGCTATAACATTTAATGTCTTCATACATTTTACATAATTTTAAAGCATGTATTAAATCAAATAGCTTCAAAGAGTGCCTCTTGAAAGGTTTGCATAAAATTAAGGTATTAAAATTCAAATCAAATAATATCTTAAAATTTAATAAAGTCAAGTATTCAGAGGAAGGCTTCACATACGCAATTGGCAGAGAGGCTCTCGGGACTGTGTGAGTGATTCGAGCGACTGGAAAGGAGAAATCGAATGATGCGATGTTACAAGCGGTGTGGATGTTTGCACGGAAATTGGAACCAAAGAAGTGGGATGAAGCGGAGGGGAAAACACTTACGACAGTGGAGACGAAGTACAATGAAAGAATTATTGCAGCTCTGTCGTGCATGGAGTTTCTCGTACACATTGATCTTGTTAGAGCAAAGGTTGGGGGAGTTGCCCGTAAGAAAAAAAAAAGTAACACGAGTGCCCTGTCCCAAAGCTTCGATAAAACAAAACAAAAAAAGTTCGGGGAGGGGGACCGCAAGCGTATGGGGCTAGGCTCAGATATATATTTATACTCGAGGGTCCGCGAAGGCTACTCGGTCACTCGAATGTATAGAACCCGCTATTCGTCTAGAAGTGTGTCTTGAACCTCACTTAGAGGGTTATTTCCCAGCCTAAATAAGTTTTCGTCAGGTAAACAACCAGCTTTAAAGTATGTTTTATGTTTTTAACATGCATACAAATTTTATATATGCAAAGAAGAGTTGTCAATTTTTGCTTCGTAGAAAGTATATTTTTGCTTGAAAAGGGTTTATCAAAATTTTTTTTTAGAAATTTTCATTGTCCACGAGTCGATTACACTGTCGGGCATGGGACTGCCAACAACCTGAGAAGGTTCGAGCCAACTCCCGCTAGCCGCTAGACTTATGTCGGTGAAGGATATCGTTATCCTATTTTTCATCAAATACATGGATCTTGATGTTATAGGATATGACATCTTTCTACTCTATCTTCGGTGTGCCTTTATCATCAACACCGTACGCCACTTGCGACCTTGTTTGATGTTTTCACGTATAGCAAAAGGCTATACGTGGACACTTATGCATCAGACATAAGTGTCAAAAAGAAAGAACCAAGAACCAAGGAAAGAAAAGAACAAAAATGGGGTGAGAGAGAGGAGGCACTGGTCCATCTAAAACACCGAAAATGATAATAGATCAGCTCTCAAAACTCCAATCGAAAAGACCTGGAAAAATAGGACCCAAGGTCTTTCCTAACAAACATAAAGGGTCACTTTGCGTTGGTTTTCTCAAACCCCAAAGATGTAGGATTAATCAAGTCAACCAAATGTTTTTCCAAAATGAGGCTTAGAAATCTCCTAAACTATACGAAGGGAAAATAACTCGAAGGATACCACCACTAGTACTCCCAAACTCATGCAAGAAATCGGAGTCCTCCAACTTTCAATTTAATCAATAGCCTCATGTATCAAATAAGCATAAAATCTTCCTATATAACTAAATAAATGCTCACGACCAGGGTCAATAGAATAGAGGAAACAACAACTAAGGCTCTCGGCCAAAGCATCCCACAAGGGAGGTAATCACTAAGGCTCACGGCCCAAGGTAGCAAGGGACAGCTGCTAAGGCCCATGGCCAAAGGCAACTCAAGGAACAACAAGTGAGGCTCACGGCTAAGACAAACCCAAGGCATAGGAGCAGAGGAGGCTCACGGCTAAAGCAAACCCAAGGAATAACACACAAGTAACAAGTGAGGCTCACGGCTAAGGCAAATCCAAGACCAATAAGTGAGGCTCACGGCTAAGGCAAACCCAAATTAATTCCCTAAAAGTTTTGATATACATAAGAGAGTACAAAACATCACAAATCTCTCAAAGTAACAAGTTTGATCCATCTACAATCATTCAAATGATTCAAACTCAACAAAAAGGGGTAAATTAAACTCAAGAAACTCCAATAGGTCTAACGGGTAGGGTAGGAACCAAAGCCAACAAAACCACCTCTCGGGTATGGGCAAGACAAAGCAAACCGAGCTCCCAACTAGAGTCAAACCTAGCCACAACTGGGATTCAAACTCAGGTTACAACAAAAGAGTAAAAGAAAAAAAAATCCCCATGCCCTCAAGACATCAAAATATAGAACTACCATATGTTTTAAACAAGAACAGTCGTGGAGTTCCTCCAAATCAAAAATAAATTCCTTCACCATATGTATATTTAAGCCAAAACACCCACAAGATGTCAAAACCGAGCCCAGCATAGATTAAAATTCAAGCTCCAATAGAAATTAAAGTTCTAGTCATTTCAAGATAAAACCAAGCCTCCAAACCAAGCCAAAACCGAGTCCAACAAGGCTAAAACAGGACCCAAACATTGATACAAATTCAGGCTTTAACAGAAATTAAAGTTCCAGCCACCTTAAGGTAAAAACGAGTCATCCAAAGCCAAGGAACAACACGCATGTCTAAATATTCCTAGCATGAAACAATTCCAACAAATTCTTGAGCAGGGGAGATGCCTCACGAGGAGTTAATTAAATAAATTTTCTTAAGACATGCATTTCAAGTAAGGGAAAGCCGCGGGAGCTAAACCGAGTCCCCATATATGTATAAAAAAATAAAGTAAACTCTCTAGCATTCATGAAAGGCCAAATAAACTCTCCAAATATCTCATGCTAAATGAAAATTAGATGAAAAGCTTCATTATAAATATCCCAACATGCTTGCGAGAGGACCAAAAGTATTACAAAGCCATGTTTTAACTCTCCTAATTGCTTCCAACATAAATATGATACGATAAACAGAAACATGTCATAGCTTCACCATTCTAAGCAAGTAACCAAGTCTAGCTCCTAGAATATGCTCATATTTTATCATTCACATGCTCTTAAGGTGAATATCTCAAAATACATTAAAGTAAAGTAAACTAGCATGTTGTACCATCCAACAGAGCCATGCTCAAAGGCTCGGCAGAGAGAAAACCGAAAGAAAGCAAGGCACCGAAGAAAAGGGGGAAGAAGAGATACCTCTTTTATGCAAATGTAAAGCACTGAAACGCAAGAAATAACTTCAAGGAGATGCTCTCACAGAAATCTCCTTCCTAAACTCTTCTCACAGCAAAGACCTCTGCTTCTCCCTTCCTCAGAAAACTTTTTCAACAACCATAAAACCCAAAAGAAACTATGTTTATAGGCAGAGAAGAGAGGGGAAGAGAATGAAGACCCACACCCCACTCTGGATACTCGAATCGGGCCAAAGAAGAAAATGACGCATTCTCTGCTCACAGAAGGCGAAACAACCGAAATATCCAGGACCAAGTGGCGAGCCGGGTGGCAGCGAGAGAAGCATCGGGAAGAAGAGAAAGTTGCTATTCGAGTGTACCAGGGAGGCAGCTTCCTTAGAGTCAAACTACCAAGAAAAGGAAAATCGCAGCTCGAGGAGGCTGGCAAGGCTTCGGGAAGGAGGGCCGCGGGCAGGAAATGTCAGGCAAGGACAAACGAGAGATCAATTTTCTCTCGCGTGGAGGAGAAGGAGCTCGGTCGACTCGAGACCGAGAAAGGGAAAAGCCAGGCACGCGAACAGGACAGGGGAAAAAGCAGAGTCGACCCCGGGTGCGTGAGTTTAGGGATTTAGGGTTGGGCCTTAAAAGGAAACGGATGACTCTTTTTTTTTATATATTAACATATATATATATATATATATATGTATCTGT